AAACAAAACTTTAATCTAGACATACACCTATCATGTAGAACTCATCAAGCAAAACAAACCACTCCGACTGTCCATCATACACACACAAGCGACAATTTTGTCACAATCAATGGCTGGTGACACCAGTAATAACTCTACCCTTGCCGCTGCCGCCTTCCAAGTTGCCTCATCCTTTAATGTAGGTGTTGACTATTGCTTCCCAATTGTGTCCTTGCATATCTTGGCACTTGTAGTTGTGACACTTCCACGTTCACACAACGTGGCTGCTACACAAAATACACGAGCCAAATCAATCCTAGAGGCCATCAACTCTGTAGCTAAAAACAATGGAAATCTCATCACCGAAGTAGCCATCCGCATCACTGCACTAGATGATGTCTCCGTGTCCACAACCTATGATGTAGATGACTCAGTACTCACTACAAGATCACTAGATGATGTAGGAATCATGGATGAAATTCTGCCCACCTCGAATAACAAAACTGACTAAAGAAACTCATTGGGGTGAGGGTGGGAGGAAAGCTAGACAAAATCTAGCTTGACTTCCACCATCACTCATATGAATTTTACTTTGAAGCACGAGCAGCACCTCTCGTCACTACAACCGATGCCTCAACCTGGACTACACTTGCCAAATATGAGAAATCTTCTCCTTCATAAGAAGTGTAAGCTCATATCATAGAGCCAGCCAAAGCAACAAGCTTATACTCCAACTGCTAAATCCGAGAAGTCATAGCGAGGAGTAGGGTAGGAGTAGCACCCACTACAGGTTGTCCGGCGACACTTGCACCAGCATCTCTACCACCTCGATCAACTTTGACTCGTGAAGGACCTCTGTCACGACCTCTTTCCCTGATCTCAAGTGTGGATGACGGTCAAAACATCGCTCTAGAGGATGATCCGCTCGACCACAATGGTCAAACACAAGCTATGTCGTTTGAGATCTAACCTGTGAACCTCGTCCTCCGTCCTCTTGGGAACAATACTTACTCCTATGATTATCTCCACATGTCCAACATGTTGGTTCTTGTTGCTGACCAAAAAATGAAGGCAATGGTGCTTGCGCACCTGTCTCTATGTGACTTGACAGATGTTGTGTTTGAACTTCACAAATCCCACCAATACCACCACTAGAGTGCTATTTTGCTAGACACGAGAAGTTGTGGATGTGTTCTTACTAAATGAAGACGTTAACATCTTCTCCTCCACTATGTTAAGCTCAATATTCTCAAACATAATAAACCCATGGGCTAATGTTGGTGATAAGAATAGCATCACGTACCCTCCTCTGCAAATCTCACCAATACTAGACAGCCTGTTACTAAGTCACACCATAAGTTACTGAGATAAAACGTTGCATATGAGTATATGTCTCTCAAAGACTCTCATCAGTCTTCAGTTTTAACTCTTGAAGACTCCTCAATCAGTAGTTCATTCGATGATAGTTCTTCCTCATCTCTTGAAGAACTCTCCAATCGGATTAAAGGTAGACACGCCACTAGTAATTCCATCCAAATTGCCAACGGCGATGCTATTAGTACCACTACTAGTATCTCTACTAACCACACTACCGGTATGTTCGCTAGTACCGCTTCTTGCACTCCCACCAGATGCTCCACTAGTACCGCTCCTAGTACATTCTCCAGCAGCTCCATTGGTACTTCCACTAGTACCGCTCTTGTTGCCTTCACTAGTAACTCCACTAGTAACAACACCACTCGCACCTCCATTAGTACCAACATCATTCTGAATAATGTACAGGTAGTTTGGAGATCAATGACGCATCCATGCGTCAATATCCACAACACAGTCTCTCCCAAACTCATGATAGTCATCTATGGAAAGTTACTCCAAATGTTGAAACACTTTCTTCCAGGCAAAGAAGTATGTGAACAACGTAGATTACGCAAAAACTGCATATCACATCACGTATCAAACTTATGAATAAAATCATCCAACTTAATGGTGCACATTGCACCAGAGTATTGTCTTGGATCCTTCATGGCACCGTACATCTGTCCATGTGCCAAATCGATGAAGTTGAAACACTAGACGTTATCATCCTAGAAGACTCGGTGTCCGCAACACCCTGCTCCTCCGCAACAACATATGAGATAGGTAAAGGTAGCCGATATATCAATCCACTCCGTGTAAATCCATCAAAGTTCTGGACTAGACCACCGAACTGCTCCGTGACGACCAAATGTCCAACTGCCACCACTGCCAATCTCCACCTGATATCGTGCCCGCTTTACGCTACTATAGTCCTACTAGCTATGGGTATGGGCAATCTAACCTGTAATCATCGCAAGAAAATGCCCACGATTAGTCCTCACTCTAGTCTCATAGTGGGAGAAACAAAGATGGGCCGGCCGGTAATCAAGTCCAGCCACACTATCAACAGCACGCACGAATACAACTACTCCAGAAACGAACATCAACCTATACACGGATGCATATCAAGAAGCAAGACTGGAAAGTATCCGAACACAAGCAAATAGCTTTCAGCAACTCTCCATTCTAAAGGATACACATCACAAAACAACACAATACACGAGACATCGCATCGCAGAGCGATCTTGATTCGAGCTCCATTGTCTTCTATCATCTTCCACCTCCACCGTCTATAGTGCTACCTCTTTCACCAAGTTGCTAAGAGAATTTCCACGCTGGTCCATCATCCTCCACTTCACCAAACACATTAAGCATTAAAACTTAATATGTTTTTAACTACTTTATATATACATATATATAAGTACAATATATTCACACGTGCGAGAATATATTTCAAAAGAAAGAGAATAATTCTCATACAAGTTGCAAGTATACATTGCGCGCTCTCCAGAAACTATGCAAATTACCTATTTCGAGATACCTACTTTACACAACATCAACATCACGCAATATTCTTCTAAGAATAGATTTCTTATTAATTTAACAATACACTTGGAACCATATCCGAGAAGCTCTATTATTCTGGAACTCTACCCATCGACTACTAACTCCTTTGTAGTAAAATCAACAGCTTTTCTTCATCATGCAACGCTACTCTTCTGTTGGGAGTTTTAGTGGAGTCGGGAACAATTCCGACACAAGGTCATCTTCCAAGTCTTTCTCATTTTCTTTCGAAGACTTTCTTCCAATTGAGTCTTCGTTCAGCTCATCAACTACCTTTCTCTCTATTTTCAAAGCGCACAAATCAGCAGCTTGTTGCCTACAAGCTCAAGTGTGAGAGGGAGCCCTTGAGTTTACGGTTGGTACCTCCAGGCTTTTATCCTCCAACAACTACGTAGTCTTCAGATCTGTAGCTCTTCGATTCAACCCCGCCGTGAACACATTCGCAATCATCGGACCAAGCCCAAGGAGTCATCGATCTTTGCTCTTTCCCTTTGATAGCGCAATCAACATCAGAGCGTGAAAACCTCAACAACTGAGTGTCAAAACACTCCCCTCAAAAATCCGCGGCGTGGTGGTGTTCATCAGCGAGTCACGCAGAAGATGTTAATCAGGCAGTCATTCTCCCGGGAATAACAAGGATGTCAAGCCGGCTTGGGGAAATGATTCGGAAGAAGGCTGCTACAGAGGAAGGCTTTGTCGTCAGAAAAGGCAAACGGATGTCTTTGTTAAAACCCCAGGAAACACTCAGCGGACCTTCCAGCTGTTCCATCCAAAGAGCCGTCAATAATTCTCTGTACTCCACACAACTGTGAACAATTGCCGCAAACTGACATTCCGACGTTGGCTCTTGGGGTGATAGTCTACGGACTTCAAGTGCTCGACAATAGAGACCCATCTCCACTAGCCAGCGTTCCTCGAGGACTGGAGTCATGTCCTCCAATTTCCCTGCTTGCTTCCAAAAGTGCCCTCTGGACCACACTCTCCGTTCATCACGATTCTGCACCCCACCCCACCACAAGCAGTGCTGCACCAATTTCACGAGTCCACCACCACCGCGTCGTGAATTCGGGATCGCTTGCATGAGTTATTCTCTCTCGACCTTCAGCTCTCACAACACACCGACGTACTCATTGCTTCCTTCGATGTCTGCCATTCTCCAATCCAAAACATGAACAAGAACCACATATAAACACCAACAACTTGACCACAACACCACCAAAGTATTCGGCAAGTTGTTCGAGTGAATTATGACATGCAAATCCCACTGGTAATACGAAATCCACACCCAGTCTAGCACAACTCATTCCATCGGGAGTATTAGAATCGATGCTCGCGACAACAGAGAATTCTCTACGCGAGAGACTCAATTCGAAGAAATGACAATTCTTCGAGTTTGCCTCGACTATTCAGTCAAACTAGAGCCGACCCAACCTACGTTCCACCACCAACGTTACCCGCCAAGGCTCCATCGTCTATTTGATTTGAATTCAAACCAACATATGTACACATGACAAATAACAATACCTTCATTTCATAATTTGGATTTCATGATGTAGTTAGATTTGGTAAATTCTGTAAGGTGAGATCTAAAATTAACTTGAAAATTAGAACTCACTCCAAATCCCACATAATTTATGTCTACACGATCATCAAGTAACTAACAAGAACTGAGTGTTAGGACCAATGCACGTCGAGACACGCAGAATCAATCGAGTGCTGACTGATCGAAAATCCAGAAAATCAGGAGAGCACCAATTGCATCTTCGAAACTTGTCTGAAACCATTCGCTTGAATGCCAAATTGAATAACACTTTGAACCCACGTCGGACGGGTTAGAGACGATGTCATAGCTCCAGAATAGAACTTGATTTCCCACTTTCAAGAGGCTTTGAGCAGACGCAATCTTCTACAAGTCGATATAGTGTGGGCAACTAGTAAGTCAACTTCCAGTGCATATTGTTTGCATGCGTGTAACTTAGAGGATAAGCAATTGCTTAACTTTTGGAAGATTTTGAATGATATCACCAGATCTAACTTCATGCATCCAGAAAGCTCGTACGAACCAAGATATATAGAATCATCACTTCGTAGTATACACATTCAAAAATCAAATCTCGAGATATTTATAATAACATCTACAATCGGGCTGAGTAATGGTCCACGAATATGATACAAAGGATCCAAGAGGTCTCTGGAGCCCTGACGGAGGTGCAACTGGTCCCTCGGAGATGAGAGGATGGAGCATAGACCGAATTCCAGGCCTCCACTTCTCGCTGAAGAGGAAATGGATCAGATCATGAGCACACCAAAGGATCCTTTCGGGATTCTATTTCCCTTACAATCATTTTGGATTAAGCACCTGCGAATGGTGGCTGCTTCCCAAACCCCCACTAATGGCCTCGATGCAAATGCAGAAGAATGCAGCACCTCGGTGGAGACGAGATTTCGACCCTGCACTAGCCTCTCCATCGATCTCCCAATCTTCAAGCAATTGCCGCAAGTTTTCCTCTTGGCTAATGGCAGGTGCAACAACCTCTCGATGTGATCAGATTCACTTGATCTGACCGAGCAGCCTGGAGCATCCCTGGTTACCAGTTGGCCTATTATCATCCACACTCCAGCATCGAGAAACATTTATGTTTTACAATTGGACCTTCGGTCTTACCCCCGGTCCGAGCTCATTTCATTGCCATGCCTGACATTGGGCTCGAGTCTCAGATTCCTTGCCCTTCGTTTAACTAATGTGGGGCTTTGATGAAGATGAGCATCCGAATTTTGGAGGTTTTAGAGAGGTCCGACTTGCCGAGCTGCTGCCCAACCAGAGGATTTCTCGACCTGGTCGAGCTGCCGTCTGTATCTCGGACTTTGCATTTTCAGCTCCTCGTTCAATTTTCCGAGAAATCGAAGCTGCATCTCTTCTCTTCTCCTCCTGCTTCCTCGTCACCTTCTCCGGCGGGATGAAAGGGAACGCTTCTCTGATCAGTCTGTACTCGTTCTCATTGAGCTCATTGTTGAGGCCCATGAGCAATTGCAGCTCTTGTCTGCTCATGGGTGCAATGATTTCACCGATTGCGTTCTTCAACAAAGCCTTGAGCTCTTCGAGTTGAAGATGATACGATGCCTGGAAGAATCAGAACGATCAATACTGTCAATACGCTAAATCAATCTCCACGTATTCTAGAATTGTAAGATATTGTCATTTGCAAGACTGTCAATGCAAAGAAAGCCGCTGGGCTGACGAACGACTCAGATGATGATGCACTCAGGGAAGAGAATCAGATTGGATTGGGATTTTTCAGAGTACGATTCTCACTTCCAAGAGCTGCATGAGAGACGCTCGGTGTTGTTTGATGAAGTCTTCCTCCCAAGAGGCTGCTGTATTTGCGCCTGAACGAGAAGGGCATCTCGGGCACAACCGGACGCTCTTGCATCCGTCGGACCTCTTGCAAAATGTGCATTTCCGTGGGGCTTTGGGCGTTCGAGGGTTTTGAGCTGAACGAGTGCAATAGTCGAAGACTTTATTCAAACTATCGTGTGTCACAAGTGGCACACAAAAGGTTCTCTGGTTGATTCCGACTGCAAGCTTTCCATCGCCAAGGGCATCACCGCAATTGTTCTCTACCAGATATTTGAGCACAGGAGACAAGAAGGCCACTCGCTCTTCCACTTGAATCGTTCTCTCGTCATCAAAACAGCGGAACTGCAGCTGCGGCCTGCAGGCTGACGTTATCGAATCTGATTCCTCGGCTACTTCTTCGGGTATGATCGTATCAGTGCCATTGCCAGTGCCTCTCTCCTCATGCACAATTTCAAGCTCATCAGCTCTCCCTCCTCTGATCGGTAACTTCGCTCGCCCATCTCTTCCTCGGAAATAATTCCACGCCAAAGACCTGCCAGCTCTCTCTGCCCACTTGCCCTGCAGCAAGCGTGATGCTTCCGGCTTTGAGCCAGGTCTGGATCTCAGAATGGAGGTCTGGCATGAGTCAGATGAACTATAAGTCCCAGTTCCTCTCATGGTAGTTCCCTTTCATCAGCCAGCCTCGTCTGGGAGCTGAGGACCCACTCAATTGGGCTGTCCTGAGTACTCTCCCGTCATGTGAAAACCGGGAAAACAATCGATCCCGAGCTCTCCTACTCCGATGTTGGTCGATTGATTCGAAGCTCATTGCGTCTGACATGTCGTTAGCTCGGCCAGTCCCATTCGAGAACATTCAAACCCAGGCCAGGCAAGCTTTCATGCACAGGTCAACAGCAAAGCGATTTATCCTGATGTGAGATGATAAGTTCCCGTTAGCAGCCCGTTTGAACCTGGAACGGATTCAATCTCAGGCACACACACAAGGATCGGCCTGCCCCTGGACCTCCAGAAGCCAGTATTCTGTCCCTTGTTAGGTGCCAGGATTTGATTTCGAGCTTTTGATTCTACTGACCACAAAACAAACCGCAGCTTCGAAGGTAATGTCAAATTTGTATAGAGGACGGAGAATTCTCGTTCGAGCGTCTTGAAAACTATCGTTAGTGATGGTCCATTACTAACGATAGTTTTCAATAGGCTCGAACGAGAATTCTGTGATGGACCATTACTAATGGAGCTCGCAGTGAACCGCAGACAGGATTCGGAAGCAAGCTCGTGCGCAGGTTAATTGCACGTGTTTTCTCGACAAGATCAGAAAACACAGTCTTCATATCTTTCTTGCTCTAGAATCCTTACCCTTCGAGCTGTCCAGACATCTTGGAGAAGCACGTGCAGTGCAGTCTTCTAGCTAGTCTAGTCTGCGCATTCGGTCATGCTCTTGAGTATCCGTCTGACGATCGAAATTACTCGATACTTAATTCTCTTAATTACTGTATGCAGTTGAGCTGAGAATTCATGAAAAATCTTTCATGAAAATTCTCGTTGAAATGAAATGTTGTGTGAACGGGATCATACCCGTCCCAGGGGTATGATCCCGTTCACAAAACACTTCGTTCAACAAACGACATTTTGTATTGTATTATCATGTTCATTATGCTCTAGATCAGAGCGAAAGTTCGAACGCGACTGCGGCTGAGGCGGACTGATAGTCAGCGACTTTCATGAGACGTAACCAGAGATGTTTCAAGCTGCTCGACGAAGGAATGTTAACATGTTGAGGGTAAAAATCTTATCAAACTGGAATATTATCATTGCTGAATCATAAGAGTAGCATCGGGAATGGCAACTCTACATTGCAATCCTCATGATGGAGGTGCTTGCGGCTTTAAAAACTGCAACATACGCAAATGCTACATTCACTTTCGACAGTAACTGATTATTACCAGGCCTGGCGTTCAATAATGAAGATGAGAAGCTTCCAATGTCGATTGCAGAAGGTTGCCACGGTCGCTTGTGAATTAATTCCTGGAGGGTACACTTCACAGTCCAGATGATACACAATTCGCACAATTGGACACCTTCAAAAGGTTTCGGGTTTTCACTGCATACTGAGGAATCACATGCAAGAGAAAGCGAAGAATAAGAATTGAATTGGACGAGGCAAATGCGAGCAGCTTCAGGGAAAAATTCCGGAATCCTTTTATTCGAATGAACTGATGGGACCCATGAAAACCCCAACTATGGAACAAAGCTCTGGCGGAGCCAAGAAGAGGGAATGCCCGAAGCGACTTCCGGAAATGCGGAGAGCGCAAGCAGACAATCCTCCTTCGAAGGTGAATCTCGAAAGGAGCTAGCTCTGGTCGAGCTAAGGGAAGGGAATGCCAGTAGCGACACTTGACCTCACCTCACAGATGTGGAAGTGTGCAGACAACATCCCCTTCTTTCGAACTGATTCTCGCGAGTGACTCGCAGCCACTTCTGCAAGAATCGAACAAAAGAAGAGAAGACAAAAAACTACGAAACATGTTTAGATCTTTGCGGGTGACGTCGGCCACCTCTGCGAGTAAACTTACTCTATCGTCCTAGCGACGAGATGTCGGCTGGAACATCTTGATCAATCTCACTCTGTACAAAAGACGGTCATCGTCATCGGCACTATGTAACATATGGCTGTGAAATGCTCGAAACACCGGGAGGATGTTTCGACTTCTCAGCAGCTGTGATGACGCCGGCTATCCACTAGGACTGATCTCTTAAACTATTTATGGCTTTTGCACTCGAAACACACCGTGTGCTCCATGTAAGGTAGCGATAGGTGCATGTTGACTCTTGACCCTACTCAGCTGGAGCCGCTCTCTATATCTATAGCTTGATTTTGTCGCAAAGCACAGCGGGAGAGCTCTATGGACCCGACACCTCTGCTGTGCGATGACAGTGTACAGGAACTGAATTGTACATTGGCTCTACAAATCTGATAAGCAATAACCTAGGGGAGCTTCCGGACAGCTGCAGTGGTCGTTTTGGAATACTGAAACAGTATTGGTCACAAATTTACATCTAGAGACATCTAGTTCTAATGTACATTCTCAAGTCAAGACTCTGTAATATTAATGGAACAAATGCATGCTTCGAGGTCGCATGCAACGGGCGCAGACACTGATCTATAAGGATACACGCCACCTTTGCATATCGCAGACACTCGAGCTTGTTGCAGCGGGCGATCGAGATGGTTGGAATTCGACACGCCACTTCTGCTTCTGCTCGTGGGCACCGTTTGCAACTCAATAGAAGTTGCTGGAAGCTTGGTACGTCTGACCAAATTTCCAGTCGGCTGCCGCGACGTTGGAGAAAGTCTGCGTCTTGCCGTTGCCCAGGGTGACGCGGAAGGACAGGCTCTGTCCCGTCAGCCTCACCATCGCCTGCCAGTTCTGGCCCCAGTTCCTCGCCATGGGGTACCAGTCGCTCTTGGAGCCCTTCATTGACATGGCGTAAACATTTCCAGCACCCCCCACGTTGTAGACCAGCACCAGATTGAAGTAGGGGTTCCCGTTCAGCGTGAACTTTATGCCTCCTTGCTTCTTGCAAGGCACCCTGCAACAATCAATCATCGAATCGTTTACGAATCTCGAAACCAACTGTCTCCTCATTTATACGTAAATGATACTCTGAAAGTAAATCTTGCATAAAAACGTTTTTCCCGTTCTTATGCAAGATTTAGTTGTTCTATACGACAGGCATGAAAGGAGCTCACGAGCTGGCTGGTTGATTGATCTATGTTAGAAATGGTGGGAGCTTCCGTGGTTATGCATACCTTCGGTACTGGATCGGGATACGACCAGCAATCATGTTGGAGATCTTGGTAAACATGGGGTAAGTCAAGTCGAAATGATGCTCTCCGTTAAGACCAGGAGGGCTCAAGTTAGTGGCGGTGACGACGACCGACTTGTTGTTATAGCACCACTTCTTGGTGTAAGCCGAAGCGGTGTATTTGCATTTGACCTCGAAGCACGCTCCGCAGTTCAGATTATTAGAGAGTAAACTATTGCTAAGGGCTACTGTGGTGACACCATATCCTCTGGTGAAGGGGTTTTCGTACCCACAAGACCCACCTGTTGCATTCAACCGAGAGGAGGCGCAATTTGTCAGATCTTCTGTGTCTCATTGCAAGATCTCGCATCCGATTCGTATCAGTGTCTCGTTGTTCCATATCTTTCACATCATGCATGGAATTTTAGATCTTCTGATTTGCAAGACTAAATCTCAGAAGACACTGCACTGTCGCTAATGAGGACGCGTCAGATCTTCTTTAGATTAATTGCAACTTTCCAGATCTGATTCGTATCAACTGTCCATTTTTTCATATCTTTCACATCATGCATGGAACTTTGGATCTTCACATTTGCAAGAGGACATCTCAGAAGACATTACGCTATTGCAAATGAGGACGCGCGCAGAGACTCACAAGTAAGACGAACCTATCGACATACATTTGTCTATGAGATTATTGGATGCTTACCTGCCGTGCCAGCGGCATCATTTCCTCCATAGAAGGTTGCGGTTGCATCTCCAAACGTTGTACGACTGACAGCGTATGCCTCTCCAGCTGCCAGCTCAACCCTCTTCAGAATCATCAACATAATAGTCACCCCGATAATCTCCATTCTTCGGACAGCTGCCATGTTTCTGTTCCCATGATCACGTAGTCAACATAACACATGTCAGATATACGTCAGTTCCAGTTTTTGGCTTGCAGCATTTAAACTAACACGATGACCTTGACTCTCATGATCTAGACGACCCAATGTTGAGATCAACATTCTCGCCAACCACACAATTTTCTCTTAAAATCCATAGACCTTTTAAACAGTAAATCCTCGATCTACTCAATGGGCATGGACCAAACTTGTGTGGCATGCACATCGATCGAGAAAGTGGGGCATGAGATCGGACAGAACCCAAGAACAATAGAGGTGTACCTCATGTCAGTTCGACCGGAATGAGAACAAAAACCTTGTGACCGAGCTACTTCTCCTGAAAGAGACAACCCAAGAAAACCCGCAAAGTGGAGTGGTGAGTCTGCTCCAATAAGCATAAAGCTTGGCATTTATAGCGCTCGCATCTGAGCAGTATTTCTGCAGATGCAGTTCCATCGTGACAGAGTCCTGTACATCGTGCACAAAATTTGCTTCCCCTCGCCCTCAGCTAAAGCCGGCCAGACTTCACGGCGAATTCGTATCGTGTTACTTTCGCTCGACTCAGAATAGGATACTTTAGTACATAATTAGAACCTGATACTTCATCCATGCCTAGCTAGTCTGTTATAGTCGGTTGAATGTTTCTGGCGGCCATGATCAGGAACTGCCTCTAGCCTGTGACTTTTCGCTCACCGTTAAGATTGACTACATTTTCAAATGCGATCAACACGGACTCTATTATTGGGCTGATTTCATTTCTCCTGTAGTAATAAATTTTCATCCCAATGTTGCAACCACTGCCTCATCGTCTGTAATTTAGATACTTACCAAACGCCGGCCTACTTTGCTCTGGTCTACTATTTAGCGTAATCTACTGTTCGACTCTAACTTTCCCAGTTGAGATCGGAAAGAACTCACGGTAAATATGCAGCTAAAAGGTGTCCTTGACCTTTCGTCCAAACTTGAGATGCCCATATTGTTCCGCTCTTCGCAATGGCTCCAACGATGTCCCTTCCTCTGTGACTCTTTAGTTCATCCAGGCACGTAGTTACCATGTTGGAAAATAGTTCCGCGTCAAAGACTGCGTCTGCTGGAAAGAGCCATGTGAGTGCGCCTCGATAGCGGCCTTCAGGCCTGAAAGATCCGCATATGATTCCACCCAAACACGACGTCTCGCAAAATTTTCGCCTTATAGTCCGACGAACAAATGGAAAAGCACTATCTAAATGAAAAGGTAAGAATTCAAAGTGTGAAGTATACGTGTGACGTTGAACACTCGATGCGTTGCCCTCGCCCGCCAGCAAACGTGAAGGTGTTGTATTCTCCGGATCAATCTGGGTATCCAACGATAGAAAGGCCATCACTCCAATCGTGCTTCTGAATGGATGAGTTCTCATAGACTCGCACAAGTCGGGCCACTGAATGTATTCCGGTATATCCTCATACAGAAAAGATTGGCATCGTTCTTCTCCCACTGAACGAACGTCTGAATCTGTGTGCAGAGATGCCCATAAACGCACATGAACAAGCATTATGGACAGTATAGTTGCATTACTTCTAGACTGGAGAATTAAGGAGCTGAGATGAAATTATGGATGTTTCAACTTTATCTGCAGATCCATGGATTGCACGCTAAAATCGACTAACTTAGAGAACACAATTAACCTCTAGATTGTGATTGAGGACCGTCATGAATATGGACTATATTTAGGATCTGTCCATTATGTAGCTCAGAAGTTTGACCAGCAATGAGATACCTGAAGGCATATTTACTAGATCTAGAGAGATGAAGACGTCGTTCAAAGTGATTGTCCGGTACAAGCAACTCGTTTAGGGTAATTGACGACCAGTTGCATTAATTACCAATAGTGCACTGTCATGATTCTCCTGTGTCAGATCCAAGGATATTCAGTTAGCCTGATTTTACTGTGAAGAGATTCAAAAGCAGTAGCGACCATGCATGGAGGTTTATGCAGTCATCCCCAGATGGATCTCTGTCAACCCCCGTGGTAATAAAGGCAAGATGTAATGTATGCGAAGCTTGCCATAGAAACCTACCGTTAGGCTAGACGCAACGGCGAAATAGACATGGCCGACATAGTCAGCTACTTCCGCTAGATGATTAATGTGAAGGCTCGATGGCAGGTCTGTCGATCTACTCTGAAGACACTCAAAATCAAATAAACTATTCATGCCAAATATTGGGAAAACATCATTCATTTCCTTTCTATGATCATGTGTACATTATGAATCTTTCTAAAAATGTAATGCTTGATATCTTCAACGCTTTGGCTTTCTGTGAACTAAGACCAAACGTCTGGAGGAATTTTGTGAGTGACTCAAGTGTGACATTGACTCCTTCAGTCCCAGAACACTTGCTACCAGATACAGCCCCGATGTCACTTTAAACGATGGCGCGCTGGTCCCAAGAATTTGTTGTGTAGACGCACTTTCGCTGATACGCACCGCTCGCCATATCCTTCGATGTTCTCAAAAGGTCGGGATCACGAAAGAAAGTTGCTCTAGTTGATACATCGAATACAAGTCCACCTCAAATTGCCAAAAGTGTTGCATATAGATCTTCCGATTAAAAAAACTGGAGAACGTCAGGAGTTTCGCCGATGGCACGAACCAAAACCATATCACTGCATCGTCTTCATGTCTTCACCATCCTGGAGATAAAGCTGAAGTGAAATTCATCGGCTCGTGTTCACGCGGCCGCCAGCTCTATGGCTTCACAATCCATGTACGCTGCTGGCATTCAAAATCTTTATTCCTCCAAGGACTGATTTTGGAAATATAAACTGTCGACAAGAATTTCTATTTTTGATAGAATCGGCTGCGGTTTGGTAGTGTTTTCATGAAATTATCCTGTACTTGGAGGAATTTATAATTATTCACATCACAATATTTATTCATGCGTGATTAATTAATGTCCATTGTAGACCATAACGAGTATTCAAGCCAAGATTAAGTGCCTGATACTTGACGCAATTTAAGATTTGGTTTCGGTTTGTGAATTTTACTTTTAAATCCGGTGACAGAATAAAGGGTTCGAGTAGGGGCATGATTCGACATCATGGAACCAAAGGATCATTTCAACTATTGGTTTCTGGCCTTTAATACTTAAAGTGCTGGATGGGTCTTTCAGTGTTTTATATTTTATTAACTTTTTCACCTTTATTTGTTATTTTCACTTGTGTCAAATTAAATTTCCATGTAAACGCAGAAATGACCACATTCGTGAACAATTTGTTATTTACGAGTCACGAATATTTGTGGGATTGGTCTCGATGTTTGACAACTTTCCGCGTTAAAAAGGGAAATTTGACATTGATTCTTGGTAAGACGTGTCTAGACTGCAATGTATTCAAATTTTGAATCTGGTATTGTGATTAGTCACTCCATGAATGATTTCGAGATATTCTTTTGATGCTTTGAAATTGCATTATTGAATTTTTGTAGTAAAGACATTTTGTCTGGATTAAATGTACCAGCATTGTGGTTGATGTCGACATAGGCTTTAAGGAGATGCAGTTGCATGATCCAAATCGAATTTTATTTCCCTCTGCATGAGGTGTATCAAAGCTCAATATTATGCCATAGGTTTCTGGAAGACATTATAGATAAACCAGATTTCCCTGAGTACTACTTTTGAAATACACAATTTCAATGCCATGAATTTAAAAAATCGTGAATTTATTCAAATTGAGGATAATAATATCAAAATAGTGTGACTTGATGAAAAATTTAACCAAAAAATCATGTCTCTGATATTTTCGCAAACTTGATGAAGAATTGAAGTTAATTTCTAAGAATATAAAATAAATAAATCTAGTCATAAATTCATTTTAATGGCATAGTAGTAATTTTTTTTCATTTCTGGGAACGGTGAAATTTCAGCTTATTAATCTCCTGAATCGAAGAATTTTCTCATCATCTAAATCTTTCTTCATTAAAATAAAAGCTTGTACCTGATTATCATGGATTAACATTCACAATATTTTGTTGAAGTATCTTATGAGTTATCAAGTCCCAAACATTTATGCACCCATATCAGTACCGAAGAGTTTGTTCGCCTGAGAGCATCCAATAGACCACGCACATTCTGGGAAAGACAAAACTGTCTTCACACTTGCGGTTCTGAGAGGGCATATATCGAAATAGTTATATCTATATCATGAGCTAAACAAATGGTTCATCTCCTGAACCCAGGTCAACCTTCCAGATCCCGTCACGGCCCAAAGTTTCCTCGGCATCTCGAGATACCCGTCGTGAGTCTGAGGCCGTCCGATCTTTCACGTGCACAAGCGGAAGATGATGATATTTACACCTCTTCGTCGGTTCACACTTTGGTTCCCGCTTTTGTGGATTTTAGCGAAAATCTGTTCTGGACGGACACGATTCTCATCCGTGGATCCAAGGCTGAAAATCGTCCTCCCCGTCCCACGTCGGCTTGGACTCAGTGAAGTACAGTACAGTACTGTACCTGGTGGATGGGTTCGAACGCCCGTTTGTCGGACAGCGAGAGTCTAGCTGTTCTGGTTCCCCCGTACGATGGTTAGGGACGACACGAGACGAGGGGCCCGAGGATCGGGTAATCAGCAATTAGCATGGAATTGACGTGCATCGAAGCGCACGTAGGCCCCTAGATCTGCTGAGGCTGAATTCACGGTGGGACCCTAGTCTCTGAGATGAGAATATCTCAGAAGAAGATCGCCGAGCGAGAATGAGATAGGAAAGAGGTTGGCAAAGCGAATCTGAAGAAGAAGCGATCGGGCTCGCTCAGTGCTCACTCGAAGAGAGCTGTAGAATCTAGTCCCATCCACGCAGGAAGAGAGATTTGCCGCCCGCATGGCTTGGCAAAAGTGCCCGGGGCTCAGGGATCTCGCATCTCGGTGCTGTAATTAGCCCTGTGAGAACCATGTAAGTGAAAGTGTGCACACGCAGTGAGGAAGCCAATGGTCGTCGTCGATGACCACGGTGGAGGTTTCTCCTTCTAGTGTCTCGAGCAATCAACAGAGAATTGGCACGACCGCACTGTTGTCCTGGAGCCGTGAGCTGAAGGAATCCACAGTGCGCTGTGGCTTACAGTGAGAATCATTAGCGGAGTCAGCCCGAAGGACTTCATAATTGTGGTCAAAGGTGACATTTAAGCAATTCTGGAGTCGAATTGACGTTTCCACATTCTGACGATCCAAACCGGACCGCTCCTTGCCGTGTGACATGGAACCAACCGGACATGAGAGCAGGATAAATTTCGCTCGATCGAGAAGAACCTCAAGACTGCCGAGACTATATCCACAGGAAGATGGAAATACAGCCAACACATCCTACAGCCAGATTAGCTCTGCCAATCTATGGGTAGCTATTATACTCTAATATGACACACCTTTTTGACGCCTGCATGATCTATGATTCCGTCTCTCTCGAAAGTTTATGTATTTCAGATCCTTCATACTTCATGACAATGGAAGCTACATTTCAACACGTGTAATCACGATAAACTTTCAGCATTTGATCGAACCAAGATTTGATCAGAGTAAGTTCCACAAAGAAGTTCAAGACTTAAGATGAAAATGTGATTGGCTAATCGGAAATTCTATATTACAGATCCTAAATTCCTATTATAGATCTTGTTCAGTACTTGTCAAGCTTCTAGAAAATGATTCATACAGTGCCATCCGTCGGTTCAACCTCTTCCGTGAAAACTGTAAAGTTCTTCCAATTTTCATTGTTGTTTGGGCGTCTCATACTCGAATCGAGGGACTTTTGTTGTTTGGGCGTCTCATGCCATGAATCGAGGGACTTTTTCTCTTATGAATTTGTAATGAGCTTTTGTAAAAGCGCAATTATTAGGCTCTCATCAATCTTGAAGCTTCTTCTGTTCTCACATGAGAAATCAAAATTTTGAGAACAAGCATCTCTAGATCCTCATGTAATCTTCACCCTCAACCCAACACACCTTTTTACACCTTCCATAAGCAATCGTCATCCTGCCAGGGTTGATAAACAGGTTGGTTGACTCCTGCTCCTCGAGTAAATTAGAGTTTCGCTAACCCAAAACAAACAACTAGTTGTAGATTTTTGACCTTCTTGATCTCATTACCTGTCAACATCCTTACATTACTATCTCCTTTGTACTATAATATTTTACAAAATCAAAGGTATCCTTGAGTTTGGAGTAATTCGCTCCACAGTGAGATACTGTTATTCGACTGATTGCGCCAGAGACAAATGCAATATCTGGAAGACATTTGGATAAATACAGAAATCTACATAAATGTGAATCATGTTTTATACAGGTCATTTACATGTGCCACAACTCGAGGACCTTTTTCGTCAATGCACGTACTGCTGAATGAGAGTCTTCATCAGCAACTGATTTATTACTTTGTTGACTTCCGTAAGTTCAGATTTAATATTTGGAGTTTTTAAGTTACAAACTGCACCTAGACAACAATGTTGATCTTCCTCGTCACCGCGACCTCTATATCTCTACTTGTCTTCTGTAGACTGCAGGAGAGTTCAGCAAATGATGGCAGAGATTGAACGAAGCAAATAACTCTCACAAGACCATAGTTGTAACTCAATGTGTACAACCTCTGTGCCCAGTGGAACAGCGTTGATGACTTGTTCTACCACAGTTCACCACTGGTGCTTCTTCATACTCAGCATGCTAAATTACTGACGTCAGGGACTGCCCTCATGGATGAATCAACTGATATGACCTCATCCATCTACTGTGAGTAGCAGCACAACGTGGGTTTCCAAAACTGCTGAGAATGTACGTGGTACGAGATGCAATCGCGGCCACTGGATGAGAGCTCCAAAACCATGCACGGAACAGCAATCAGGTTATTCCAGAACCAAAGTAGCCATGACAATCTATGAGGTACAATGAAACGCAGAGATGGGATAATATCTACGAGGAGACAGTGCTATTTAAAACCAGACAGATAGATGGGTCTGAGGGCACAATCGGAGCTCAGGGAACGAGTCTGTGGCCATGCACACGCGGCAGCACGCCCACAGAACCCGATCCATGCTGAAATACAATCCCCATGCTGCCGACTGGAAAAACAACTTGAGCTCGTGCCAAGCGCGAAAAGCGCTCGCTCTCTCTCTCTCTCTCTCTCTCTCTCTCTTCTTCCTCCTGCAGCTGCTCCTCAATGAACATTCCTCCTCCTGCTCACCTTCCACCTGAACAGGCACAAACATAAACTCATGATATTCTATTCTATTCTATTCCCATGGCGCTCTGACGACAAGTCAGCTCGCATCCGAAGCTCGTGGCTCGCTCTGTCTGGCAAGCCGCTCACGCTCACGCTCACGCTGCGATGGAGTCTCACCGCTCTACGTTGCGCCTTGCATGTGCCAACATTGCTTGACCCTGACGCAGCTCGCAGCTCGCAGCTCGCAGGTGGAGGTGGACTCGACGAAGCAGGCACATCGTCGCCCGCCCGCCCGCCGTTCATGGCCCATCATGCTCACAAGTAAGCTGCTCCTCAGTGATAGTACGTCCATCGCAGCGACAGGTAGACTGAGAGAGAGAGAGAGACGCACTTCTCGTGTTCATCGATCATCTCCATCACCATCTCCATCGCCATCGCCATCGCCTGGCCGGGGAAGTATAAGTCGCTCGCCCTCACAGCCTTCTCGAGGGCACTGCGGCAGCTACTCTCTAGTAGTTTAGTTGAGCTCGGCTCGGCTCGCCATTGAGCAGCGGCAGCAGCTCAGATTCATCGATCGGATGGCATGACGACTCCTGCGCGCACGGGTGCATCAGACTCGCATCAGATCAGTAGACGGGCCACGGGCTCGCTCGCTAGTTAGAGCAGTTGGTGCGGCAAATACGTACGTACCGTCGGAGATGGAATCCGTCGCCCGTAGATTTATGCTGCGGGCCTGTATTGCCTGTATTGCACGGGAGGTGTTGTGATTCCAAGCACTGACAGTTCCATTATACGACTCGAGGAGGTGGACAATTGCGGAATCGCTCGCTCGCTCGCTGCACGAGAACGAAGACGAATCTGTTTCGAGCTCACGAAGGCCGCGATGGATCGCTGGAGACTGACTGAGATCGAGGTGCCGGGTACGGTCTCAATCGTGTAATTCGCGCAGAATTCGGATCCCGACGAAGAATCCTGCAGAAGGACGAAGAGGACGACGAGGACGACGAGGACGACGACGAGATAGCTAGACAGAGGACGTGGGCGGGGGTCATGGCGACCGGCACGCCGTCGTCGGACAGCAGAGGGGTAGGACTGGGAGCGGGACTGGGAGCGGGAGCGGGGCATGGAAGGGACGGCAGCGACGGGGAGGACGAGGAAGCGGTGTGGGAGGAGGTCGTCGTGAACGGCAGCCGGAATGGCAGCGTCGAGGAGATGGCGCAGGATGTGCTGCGCACCATCTTCAAAGTCAAGAGCCCCGAGGAGGACAATGCGCTCTTCCTCAGCCGCCTCCGCAGCCGCCTCGACAAGTAAGTTTGAACTCTTCTCAGGTCCCGCCCAATCCAATCCAGTCCAATCCATTTCCATCTTTCCGCCTTTGCCTCCGACTCTTCGGATTTCCCGTCCCGTCCACAAGAACGAACAATTTCTCGTCCGGTTTGCTCGGAAATCGGACTCGGGAAGCAGCAATTGCGAAATTGCGAAAAGAAGTTGTCTAAGGCACGAGTTTATTCTTGATCAGGGCAGGTGTGAGATTGCCGACGGTAGAAGTGCGCTACGAGAATTACTCCGTCAAGGGCTACACGCACATGGGCAAGCGGGCCCTGCCCACTCTTCGCAATGCGGCTGTGAACGCCATGGAGGTAGGTCATGTCTTGGATGTCGAGCTCGTCGCATTCTTTTCGTCCGCATTTCTCTTCGGTCGAATTGTGACATCGTGACATTGTGCCATCGTGGAGTCGCAGAGCTGCCTGGCTTGTCTTCGCATTCCCGGAACGAGGAGGACGAAGTTTCACATTCTAAGCGAAGTGAGTGGAATCATCAAACCCGGCAGGTTCTTTCCTGACATGAATGCCCACCTTTTGACGTAGAATCAGTCCACATGAATTCGAGTACGTTTTAGAGTTCGTCTCCGAGCGAGAGTTGGTTTCTCGCTCGCAGTCGTCCGTAATTTTGTTGGGGCGTGAAGGCTCCTGCGGCACAATGTTTTTGGAATGATCGAGAGGGGCTATGGAGAAAGTGACACTGGGGACGTTTTTGGTTCAGAATGACGCTGGTGCTTGGTCCTCCTGGCTCAGGCAAGACCACATTTCTACTTTCTCTGTCTGGACAGCTGGACCCGACATTGAAGGTAATGCCCCTCAAGCTCGCATGCTCTCAGAGATCGCCCTCGTGCGACTGCCTCTTCTCGTGATTCAATCTTAGTGTTGCGTTGAGAATTTTCCCATGAATCTGAGTTCTGCAGTGGTCGGATCCTGATATCCTTGCCGACAGGCGAGTGGGAAAATCACCTACAATGGACATGAGTTGCACGAGTTCGAGCCTCGGAAGACTGCCGCATACATCAGTCAAGAGGATTTACACGTCGGGGAGCTGACAGTGCGAGAAACTCTCCTGTACTCTGCCAAATGTCAGGGAGTTGGACCCTTCAGTGGTAACTACTCAGAATCACCTGCTTCTCATCCCTGTTCAGATTGCGTCCTTGTGTTGGTGGTGGCAGTTGGTAGTCGACCGTAAATGTAAAAAACTGGCTTTGCAGCAAATTCTTCCACCGAGAGATCTGTGTGAGAACTGTGCAATGTAACCGAAGTTCGAATAGAGCTACTCCTCTCAATTTCTTCGCGTCCAGCCTTTTCGTGCAGCATCTTGAAGGCGCTTGTAACTGTGTTCACGGTCGACCGAATCTCGCCATGTGCAGAGATGCTGGCGGAGCTTCTCCAAAAGGAGCAGCAGATGAATATACGCCCTGACCCAGAAGTCGACATGTACATGAAAGTGGGTCACACCAACAGCTTTTGCAGTACTTGTCTAAAGACGTAATTTTGCTTTGGAAAGATTGAATTTGTGTCGACTTGTGAGCATCAATTCAACATGCTTTCTTTGAAGACTGACGACTGGAAGGCTCACATAACACTTATCGCCTAGATTTAACACTCCATGGTACTGAGCTGAACCTGCGACTCTTTCTTCCTTCTTATGTGCAGGCGAGAGCAACACCAGGATTAGCCAGTCATGTTCTCACAGAATACGCCTTGAAGGTCAGTGAATCTCGAGCGTGAAAGCATTGAAAGGCTCGTGAAGATGTTCAAACGCTAGATTTTGAACCCATTGCAGAGTTTGCGATCGTATTGTGACGATCTAAGCTGGTCGTTGAGAAAGCTGAAGGAGCTCACCAGTGGAAGGTGGTTCGGTGTGCTTGTCACAGATTCTGGGCCTGGACTCGTGCGCCGACACATTGGTAGGTGATTACATGAGACGTGGAATCTCCGGAGGACAGAAGAAAAGGGTGACCACGGGTATGTATGTAAGCGACGAATCCATACTACAAATCTGTCACTTTCAAGCTCTTCTGCTACCACTTTTTTGCTGCAGTATGTTGCGTCTGGTGCGCCATCGCACACTAAAACCGTTCGTGCAAACTTTGTGTGCCTGACTGCATGCGAATCTATTCGAAACTTCAGGGGAGATGATGGTTGGCCCAGCCAAGACGTTCTTCATGGACGAAATTTCCACTGGCCTCGACAGCTCGACTACACGACAGATCGTAGCTTGTCTACGCAACATCTGCCATTCCCTGGAGAGTACGATTGTGATGTCCCTTCTCCAGCCTTCTCCAGAAACGTTCGCTCTCTTCGATGATGTGATTCTGCTCTCTGAAGGTCAAGTCCTCTTCCACGGAGACAGGGCAGACGTGCTGGAGTTTTTTGAAGATTGTGGCTTCAAGTGCCCGGAGCGGAAAGCAACCGCAGATTTTCTGCAAGAGGTGAAGCCCAGCTCGATGTTACGGATTTAACAGAAGCTCCGATTTCATCTGTACTGTAAAAGTTTGTCACCGAGATCAATTTGGCGATTAGATATTGGCGAAGTTTGTTTTGGTGCATTTCACACGGAGAATTGCTGAATCGGTCATGCTTATGGCAGGTGACATCACCGAAGGACCAGGAGCAGTATTGGTCTAACAAGCAGCAGCCTTACCAGTATGTTACAGTCAGTCAGTTTCGGGAGGCGTTCAGAACCAAGTTTCACGAAGGCATTAGACTTATGAAGGAGCTGGAAACTCCAATGGACAAGACTGCGAGCCACAAGTCAGCCTTGTCCACCAACAGTCACCCATTGTCAAGAAGTGACATCTGGAGAATCAACTTCGCCAAAGAATGGTTGCTGATGAGGAGAAATGCCAAGGTGTACGTGGCGCGATTCGTAAAAGTGAGACACTTCCACCATTTAGTTTCCTTCGTATGCAGTTAAATCAGGGTCACAACCTTTCATGGAAGCGTTGAGATCTAAGCGAAGACCCATTGCATCTGGTACTGAATGTCTTCACATGGAAACCCCATGAATGTCAGTTTACATCATTCGAAGCAAAAAAAAATCGATTTGACTCTTTACTTGCTGTTGCTACATGTATCTCAACCCTGAAAGGAATCGAACTGTTGATCGATAGCAAGGCCAAGCCTTTCTCTTTTTTTTTTAGAATATGAAAAATCATCGTATCCTTTTGGTTTTCTTTTTCTATTTTGACATAGTGGTGGTATTACAGGTTTCAATTATCGCAACCTTGGCATCAACCCTGTACTTCCATTCCGAAATGGCACGAAATGACATGGAAGACGCTCACCTGTATGCGTCGGCTATTTTCTACGGCATTTTTACTATGCTGATCAATGGATACTCTGAGAGCGTCCTCACCATCTTTAGGCTTCCTGTTTTCTTCAAGCATAGAGATTTGCTCTTTCTCCCTGCATGGGCGTACACCGTTCCTAAGGCAATCCTCAACACTTCTGTATCTATGGTGGAAGCGACACTCTGGACCGTAATCACTTATCATATCTCAGGATTCGCCTCTGGAGAAGAGAGGTGAGAAGGATGAAAATGCTTGCATCTTTGTGCAAAATCTTGGTTGCACATTTTCAGTCTGACTCCTACCAGAGTAAAGTACCATAGCCTGCTCCTCTTTTCGGAAACTCTAGATTTCTTAAAAGAAAAGATTGGTGAGGTTTCTCTTACTTGAAATTTCATGTATTGCCTGTTATATTTGTCTGCAACAGATTCTTCCAGCAATTGTTTCTATACTTCTGGATACACATGATGGCTTCTGCTTTGTTCCCTCTTGTGGCTGGAGTCTGTCGGACGATGGTCTTGTCTGCCACGGCAGGAACTTGCACACTTTTGGTCTTCTTTGTGTGTGGAGGATTCCTAATCCCTCGGACTTCCTTGAAACCCTGGTGTATATGGGCCTACTGGTTATCCCCGATGTCCTTCGCTCAGAATGGAGTCAGTGCGATTGAGTTCCTTGCCCCTGAATGGAACAAGGTCATTTCTCGAACCCCATGTTTGATCGAATCTCACATAATGGCCACTGCCTTCACAGGTCACTCGTATTTTGTAGTATTGTTGTTAAGAAGAAACATGAAACGTGTGCGTCGAAGAGTGAAGCTTTTCGTTTGAGATGCTTCTCGTGATCATGGCTCATGATACTCGTTCTTCAAGATCATGAGTAGACAATCTAAGCATTTCAGCATAGATGGGCCTCTCATGCATCCATTTTATGAAGGCTCAGAAGCGTGTCATGTACTGATTGCCATTGGTATCAAAATGTGGTACATACTGCAGACGACAGCGAACAGTCTAGACAATTTGGGAGTTCAACACATGAAGGCCAGCGGGCTCTATCCAGAGACATATTGGTACTGGATAGCTGTTGGAATGATGATTGGATACACTTTCTTGTTTCAGTTCCTCTTCACAATGGCGCTCAGCTATCTCAAACGTACGAGTCTCTACCGTTTCCACATTTCTATCTCACTAGAATCTTAGCGTCTGATACTTGCATACGTAAATGAAGATTTTCAGGTCAGAACATTGAAATGCTAGGAAATGGACATACAAACGTCAGCTTGAATTTTTATCCTGACCTTTTCATCAAAAAGCAGATGATTCTTGAAAGTCTGTAGTATGGTCCTTTCAACCCTCACTAATGTAGCTGAGTATGACTCAAACAACAGCATTCAGCAATCCACAGGCTATGCTATCTGAAGACGACTTCAATGGGTCAGATATTGCACGGGGTGGGAAACTCAAAGGTGGTAGATCCGGACCTGGCTCATCGTTGAAGAAGCTGTCTCTCAGTCGGTCTTTCTCTTCCAACTCCAGATACGGTATGCCTTTCCTTAAATTTGTCTGGTTTGACCTCCTCTGATCCAGTCGGTACTATTTTAGTGTAAAATTCTGATATTTCATAGTATTTCTGAAGGTCTTATAAGTACGAACCATGTGGAAGGAGAGGAGGCTGCAAACTCTGCTCTTGAGATGTATAAACGAACTCTCGCAAGAGTTTGCTCAGAAGCAAGTATGCATAAACAAGTCTCTGTTCGAGCCAAGCAAGGAATGATATTGCCGTTCCGGCCCTTGTCAATCAGCTTCAAGAATATCAGCTATTTCGTAGACACGCCCCCTGTAAGAGACAATCTTACGTACAGAGTACATATTTTTTACATCCAGTTTTTGTTCACTTCCACAATCAGATCATGTATATTTCTGTTTCTGCTTGCCATGTACTGAAATGACCAATGTGAACGATGAGACCTTCCAGCCTGGAAGCTTGAGCTTCCAGGCTAGATTTTACTTGATGTCATTCTGCCTCTGCTGACACCATACGTGTATTCGACATTCATGTGTCACAGGAGATGAAGCGGCAGGGTGCAACCAAAGCTAGGCTTCAGCTTTTAGATAATGTGAGTGGGTCGTTTCGACCAGGCGTTCTCACAGCCTTGGTAGGTGTTAGTGGAGCTGGTAAAACTACTCTTATGGATGTCCTAGCAGGTAGGAAGACAGGAGGTTATATAGAGGGTGACATTTACATTGCTGGATTTCCCAAAGTCCAGTCCACTTTTGCCAGAATTTCTGGATATTGCGAGCAAAATGACATCCACTCACCTCAAGTAACCATCTATGAGTCTCTTACGTACAGTGCCTGGCTTCGGCTACCCAGGCACGTCAAGCGTAAAGTCAAGAAGGTAACTTCCATGTTCCGTCTGTTTTCTTCCTATACGTCAGCTTAAAAGTTTTAAGTGTCACCGCAAATTTTGAAAATGATAGTATATGTAAATAGCTGAAAGACATCATGGAAGGATCCTTATGAGGGACTGTCATCAATGCGACTCCATTGATGTTATCCCAGTCCTAAAATTCTGAAATATCATGTCATAATAAAGCCAAATTTGCTTGAATTATAAATTTAACCCTCATCACAATTTGTTTCATCACAGCAATTCGTTCAGGAAATAATGGACTTGGTGGAACTCAGCAATCTCAGCAATGCGCTTGTTGGTCTTCCCGGAATTTCTGGACTCTCATACGAGCAGAGAAAACGGTTGACAATTGCTGTGGAGCTGATGGCAAATCCGTCCATCATCTTCATGGATGAGCCAACTTCAGGCTTGGACTCACGTGCTGCCGCAATCGTAATGAGGACAGTGCGCAATACAGTAGATACTGGTCGAACTGTGGTGTGCACAATTCATCAACCGAGTGTTGATGTTTTTGAATCGTTTGATGAGGTAAGGGAAGTCTAGATCATGTAAGTTTTCCAGTTCCGATCAACTGGAAATGGGAACTGTTATGAACAGTTATCTTTCTTACCGTCTTTCTAAGTACAAGAAACCGTGCACCGTTTGACATATCATAATTTTAGAAGCAATTAGTCCCTTTTTTTCAACGGTTTGGAGTCTTGGAATACCTCAGTTTAGTGTGATGGGTGAGAATTTCCACATCATGGGATCGGTCACAATCTCTGATAGTCGTATATGTTTTGTTTTCTTGCAGCTTCTGTTTTTGAAAACAGGAGGACAAGTGATCTACGCTGGCTCCTTGGGAAAGAGATCTGAGAATCTTGTGCGCTATTTTGAGGTAAAAAGAGTAGTGGAACAAGTCGGATTTATTTTATCATGGCTGACATGACCTTCATCTATATCTTTCTCTTTTAGAAAGTTTATCTAACTCATCATGCCTGCTACCAGAGTATTGATGGTGTACCTATGATACGGGAGGACTATAATCCAGCATCATGGATGTTGGATGTGACCAGCACATCATCAGAAATTAGACTTGGCGTCGACTTTGCAGATTTGTACAAAAAATCTGCCCTTTTCCAGTAAGTCGAGCGACCTATGCAACTGGAAGCTTTTTCTCTTCTCGGTGCATTGAAAGGCCAACCTAACGTTGGTTTGAATGACAGCAGTCTAGAGATAGAGAGAGAGAGAGTTTGCTGGACCTTGACCAATATCAGCTCCAGTGAAGTGAAGTGCAAAACTTGCAATCAGCTGATTACACACATGTAATGAATGTAATGTTTCTGTCTATCAATCTTGACTGACTCGCTGATGGAGATGATTGTGATAACAGAAGGAATTTAGAGACAGTCAACGAAGCCAGGAAACTTTCACCAAACGCAACGGATTTACGGTTTCCTACCAGATACTCGAGGTCGTACTTGTCACAGACTTGTTCGATCTTGTGGAAGTTCAACTTAACATATTGGCGGATGCCAGCGTACAACAATTCCAGATTCGTTTTTACTGCTGCGTCTGCACTGATCTTTGGCATAGCTTTCTGGGGACTAGGGCGAGAAAGGTTAGATACTTATCTGCCTCGACAAATTTATTTCTTATTGATCAATGAGGTCTCCAAAGTTAGTTTCTAGTAGCTTACGAATAGAAACAGTCACATGTTAAATTATGCTGATCAAAATTACGGAAAGACTGACTGTGAGTAATCTGCTTGCAGCGAATCTGAGAAAAGTGTGTACAGCGTCATCGGGGCCATGTACGGCAGCACCTTCTTTCTGGGGATAATAAACGCATCGACAGTGCAATCTATTGTTTCAACAGAGAGGACAGTGTACTATAGAGAAAGGGCTGCCGGCATGTACTCTTCTATACCATATGGTTTATCTCAGGTTTGTAGTACTGTCCTTATAAAACATTCACGTCCTCGATCTATACATTTACTTGGTACCTACAACTAAAACCATGGTTGTAAATTTGTAAATTTCTGCATATCCTATAAGCATGGCACTGCATGTGTCAAGTATTGTGATCTTGTTTCAAGACATCACGCTATCTACTGACGAACGTGCATTATTTTTCCTGTCTGAACCTGTCGCAGATTTTGATCGAGATACCATACTGTTTTCTTCAAAGTGTGATATACTGTTCAATCACGTATTCCATGATAGGCTTGGAGTGGACAATCTCCAAGTTCTTCTCGTACCTGTTCTTCTATTTCTCCGCCTACCTTAACTTCACCTTGTACGGGATGCTTGCGGTCGGAATAACTCCGAATGAACAGCTCGCGTTCATTGTATCCACGTTTCTCTACGGATTCTTCAATCTGTTTGCGGGATTTTTGATACCCAAACCGGTAAGGGAATCACTTTCAACCGGATTTTTCGCAATCTCTTCAGCTCTCTTCTAAAGCAAGAACCAACGACCTCGTAAACCATTCAGCTTGCAAACTTTTATTTATGTGCCATCTTGAGATCAAAGAACTAGAGTAGCTCTGTCTGTTCGTGAGGGATAGTGTCAAGCTGATAATGGACGTGGGATCCCGTGGTCGCAGAGAATCCCCTGGTGGTGGGCATGGGCTTACTGGACGTGCCCTATAGCCTACACAATATATGGACTCGTCGTCTCACAGTTCGGGGACGACCATCAAATCATGACCATGAGTGATGGTACTGAAATCGAGGTTTTCAACTACATTCATTCAATCTGGGGTTTCGACCGAAACTTCTTTCCCATCGCTGTCGGAGCAGTGGCAGCCTTCGGAACTGCATTTGCCTTTCTATTCATTGTGTCCATCAAAGTTCTCAATTTCCAATCGAGGTGAGCTGGATGAGCATCTTGGTGGGATCAGAAATTGATGGACTAGATCGACTGAACTGTAAAGGTAAGTATATGGCAGGATTATTAGCTTGAAACAGATTAGCTGAAATTTGGAATTCTCGCAGTCTACTGCTGGAAGACTTGTTTGAGAACCAGTAAAAAAGGTGACTTGAACCCCTAGCTACATGAGAATCAAGATGCAAATGCAACAGAGGCTGGTGAAGCGGCTCCGAGAAAGTCGCAGCGACTGATCGGCACCGGAAGCTTTGAAAGTCTGGTTGGATTTCACTATCATGAGTAAAAATAATTTCTGAGGAAACTGAACCTCTTTGAATCTTACCACTGCTTCACATTTCCTGCTTGCGCTACCTTTAGTTCTGAGGCCAGTACTCGCTTCAACTCTTGTCAACCAATATTTTTGTTTCGAGTCTTGCATACAAACACGGCTTAATATTTATCTCTGTCCGGCAATTTCTACACTCGGCAATCATCTCATCCTCTGCACTTACTACCATAACTTCAGCTGGTGGGTCGAAGATTGATGACAGAGTGTGGGGCCGAGGACGGAGTACAGCTTCTGGCATGGACTTCGAGTTGGTAGAAACCCTTAGAGAGACCGCCTGGACGCGTCATCTAACTGCCTGTACTAGGGAACACGAAGTCTAGCTTTCAACCATTGCATGTAACCTCTGTGTTACATCCTTGCGACCATGTTTCCAGGGCAACTTTCGTTGTGATGATTCCGTTAACTACGCACTGAAGTGAAGTTGGGAATGGTAGCATTTCGTCCGGAGGACTCCGACTCAGCATTCATTTAGAATTATACTTCAGACAACTCCACTGCCATGTGTAAACATTCGACTTGACTGTAATCTTTTACGTCTGGTTTTCACCTAGAGGTTTTCCAGCATTTGCAAAGCAGAGTACCTAGTGCTAATTTGGTTACAGATAGCACCTGCTCGGGACCCCAGTTCTCATTGATTCAAATCACTTGCATAGCTCGAACATTTCACAAAGCCAAGGCACTCAAGTACACTTCATGAGATAGAGATGCATTTTTCGTAATAAATGTCATATTTTCCCCGCTAACCTTCGGATTAATTATTGCGCCTCTCCTTTCCCTTTCGATGCTTCAGCCATTCCAACAATCTCATGACTCGTTCCATTGATCTCTTTGGCTGACGGGACGAACACGAGGTATATATGAAAACCCAGAGCATCAGTCTAATTCTGCAAGCAGTTACCCCTTAGCCCTTTTGATGATGGTGGAAATCCTAACGAATCCCAATCTGCGACAGTCTTTCAATGCTTGTTTATAAAACATCCTTCCACAGACCAAAAATACAAGCGGGAACCACATTTCACCTTTAAATGCACTGCTCTGAGCTGACCCGTAACAACTGACATTCCTCCGTATACTTCCATTCACCACACATTCGTAGACCCTCGTTGTGAAAGTGTGATGATATGATTGTCCCGCAATGTCAGGCACAACTCCAGTGTATACAATGAGATAGTGGTTTCAACAGGTAGGACAATGCTTCAAGTTTTCTCAGTTTCTATTTGCACGGATGCGAATCTAGCTAGCACAGGCCCGGATTTTGACACGCCCTCCTCTGGACTCGTTTAAGTGAAGAAGGTCCCTGATACGAACGAACTACTTTTAACTGTGTATTCTCCTGCTCGCCAAAGCTAACAAACTGCTTCGGAGGCTCTGCTTCAAGAAAAGTCTGCCGTATATAAAGGTTACTGTAAAAAGTTTTTTTATAACCATGAAATCAGATGCACCAATGTGGGCATCGAATAATCAGGTCGCAATGAGAGAAGCTGGGCCCAGAAGGAGGATGTACAATTGAGATTATCTACACGATAACTTCCCCCATTGGGCGTTTTGACAAAACAGTGGCAAAATAAACAAGACGAGCTCTTCGGGTGAATCATCTGGCCCTGTTGTTGAAACGGGCCAGTCGAGCTCGTCTCAAGTCTTCTATGGTAGGGGGGCTGGCGTCAAAATCCTCTTCTGGCCATGGCGGAGCAGATGGTTCGGTCTCACCCACCGAATGTTCTCGAGCACTTCCCCTGGGAGCGCCACACATATCACACTCGTGTGAGGTGCTCCTGTTATCATATGTACATACAAGACAACGCCACACTCCAGTTGCCCCTCTGGCCAATCCCCGTCCATAAGTCCTTCCTCTTCTGGAGCTGTTGCCGAACCTTGTGAATGGCCACAAAAGAAGAGAAATCGGACGCTGCAGCACTTTCTTCACCCAGCCAACGGGGGCTCGAGTGCCAGACAACAAGAAGGATCCATTGATGTAAATCAATCCTGCAACGACGCCGCACAGGTGCCCGAGGAACGAGGTGCCTGGAACGAACATTTGAATAAAGAAAAGCTCTGCCCAGGCAGCATAACGCGATGGAATAAGAACGCCATATACATTCGTGTAATCCGGAGAATTCCAATTCAAAACCATCTTCAGGGCGAAAAGAACGGCAGAGAAGCCCACGGCACACTCAGAGTACATGGGCCCCGGGTTGTCTGCAAAAGAATACAGAAATTTGGCTGATACGACGACTAGCCCGTGTGACAAGCCCAACAGAACCCCGACCATGCCTGCAAATTTCTTGCTGCCCATCGACCCCTCTAATTGCACACCCTTCCATAAGAGGGATATCATATTGTACACAAGGTGGGCATCGTCCACGTGATAAAATGCGGACAAGAGTAATCGCCTTGCATCCCAGTCCTGCACATCGGAATTCGCTTCATAAGTTCAGTATTTCCCAGTAGATATTCTAAAAACTTTCATAGGTCCAGAACCATAAGAGCTCATGCGTTCTGTTTAAAACCCTCCCACATACTTCCGCATATCGAAAATTATGTGAAGAGCTCTCTCAGGTAGCTCAGTATTAGAAGAGGTGTGGACAGGAAAGAATTGATGGCGAATTCCAACTGCATGGTCTAACTTCGGAACAGTGTTTCCCAAAAAGCCAATTTTCTGAATTTCGTTCCGCAGGACCAATAAGTGAACGCTACGAACCGCCTGAATGCAAATTGACAATAATGAAAGCTCCGATTCGGGGTGCTAATTGCTTTCAAAGTCGTCGGAAAGCAGAAGCTGGCTGATGAAGATGTTACTGAAACGGACAGGACTGAGTGGGTTTCAAAATGACCGTCAGATTCTCTAAGAGGAAGACAAAGATTTCGGCAGTACGAAGCATTCGCAGACGACGCATCTAGCTTCCGCATTTTGACAAAACCACTGCGCCAAATTCATTTAGCATTTGTCCCAAAATCCCTGCATGTACATACCTTCAAGACTCGATACGGATTGAGGCAAACCTCCTGCACAGTGGGAAGAACGAGATCAAGAACACCTGGCCTCAAATGCACGATCGTGTTGGCCAGTATTAGGGTTGCAGTAACGGGAGGCTTGCGAGGGAGTTGCATGAACTGAGAGGCGGCATGAAGTGCCAGCATGTAGAGCATGCCATTCCCACCCCCGACGCGTCGATTTCTCCCCCGATTCATCTGTCCCGAATTCTGCAATTCTCGAAATCTGCTCTCGTCCGGACCCGCTTCCGACCACACCTTCGCGACGACCACCACCACCAACACCTACAGAGACCGGCTCCTCGACTTCTTTCATAACCGCGACGCGGAACACGCAAAATGTGTCGAAGTGCAATTCTCAGCTTGGGGCTTGTGCAATCCAGATTCTCCACAGAGCAGATTGCTCTCGGGCCAAGTAAAATGTCATCGATGACGACGAGTCCCCCGCCCAGAAGGTTCTCGAGGGCCCGGCGGTCGCAGTCGTAGTCGCAGTACGCTTCACCTGGTATAAGCTCCAGTTCGAGTTTCCCTTGAAGCGCCGTGAACTGGGCCCGATCAACTTCCAACTGCGTAGAGCATCGTCCGCCTTCAGCTGAGCATACACGCAGATCGGAGGAGAGTCGACGGAAACCCTCGCCGGGAATAGTATGGACTGCTTACTTCTTGGGTCTCGACCCGCGCCTTGCGGTTCCGTTTAGTGCAGTGGATTATGGGACCAACGAAGTATAGTGGGGACCTCACCCGTCACACTCACTTTGACCGCTGGTCTTTTCACTATTCCGGATTTGATGTGATTCAGAAGCATGCACCCGTTGGTCATCGAGCATTTGACGCTGGTGCAAGAGCCAGCCTCTGAGTTCCCGGACAGCTCAAACATCATTCCGGTGACCGGCGCCGGGAAAAAATTACGACAGATAATGTTCGCTAGGACAAAGATAATCTAAAATGGAGGTGCGGGGTATCGATCCCCGTGCCTATCGCATGCAAAGCGATCGCTCTACCATGTGAGCTACACCCCCTCATATGCTTCTACCTGGGATTAATAAAGATTAAAACATTTTCAATGGTGCAACGGGCGATTTGATCTCATGTCTGGTCTGCAGTCTGGAATTTCTTCTACTTCTACCAAATATTTTAATGTTTTCACAATCTCCCTGCGTTCGTGGTGAGTGCTCATGATCCGTACCGGCAGATATCGGAGTGATATTTGTGTAGCTACTTTTTGCACAGTGCAATAAGTCTAAGTACGCACATGCTCACGAGTTGTGACACTAATATGCGAGTAAATGACTTGCAACGAGAATCACATTTTCCATAATGTTCAGCAAACGAGGTCGTGTATACTTTGGAAATTTATTCTCCATGTTGTTAAGATTCTCTGTAACTGAACGTCCACACGCAGTCCAGGTGCAAAAGCATTTCGTGATACAAAACTACCACATTTATACACGTGACACTTCTCAGCATGCTGGGGATTAAAAATGTCTGCTCTGCAGTCTGGACTTTCTTCTACTTCTACCAATAGACTCTTGTTATGAAAACAGAGACCCTGGACACAACAACGGGAGCTGTGAAGGCTCGACTTTGTGTAATCCATACAATTTCTCATTGTCAAGGAGGAAAGTCAAACCTTGTGAACCTTGAGAGACATATTGTAGACCAAAATGACAGGCTGTTATTATAAAAAATCTCAACTTTAGGGGAGACTTTCCTTGGACTGTACCTAGCATCTGAAACCCCTGAACTGAACCGCAATTCTCTTAATTTCCAACAAGCTTGTCTTCAACATGTGAGATCGCTTATGAACTCAATTTTGATGATTGAAGGGGTTGATATGAACTGGAAGTGAATAATCTTTCAAGTTCCAGTCTACTCCGACTACTAAAATCTTAGCGGATTGCTAATAGTCTTTACTTTAATCAAAACCTATTGGCCTGAAACAGTACAGCGGGATACAAACACCCGACATAGGTATAGCCCATGAGAATGCTAATTGTCTCGGCAGTTCTGTATTGTGCAGATAGAGAGAGTTTTCTAGTTATACTTAAACCCACATGGTGAATAAAAAACTTTTCCTGCCAGCCGTGCGCTGCATTCCAGAGGAACACACACATCAAGATGATCGTCACGGTATGCTTTAGAGTTACTGGTGGAGCACAGTCTGGCGAAGTTACGTGTTTTCAATCCATTTCAAATGTCATTCTTAATCATCCATCGATATCCTACTCGTGTTTGTCTGCGATTCCGATTGTTTTTTCATGACCCAGCTACTCCACAATACTCACCCTTATCCGAAATTGGGAAAGCTACCTCCTATTTCTTTGGAGAGTGGACCTGGAGCGATCACCGAGCGCTGCTCAGGCTCTTGAAGAATAGTTTGACTTCGTAGGAGTCGCATAACATCAGAACAAACTCAAAAGTTAACTTTAACTGCAAAAGGGTTAACAAAAGTTAACAAACTCAAAAGTTAACTCTTTTGAGGTAAAAACACGAAGGAATAACAAGTCTTCCGGGCTAAAATATTCAATTGAGGTCAAAGTAGTCTCAAATTGCTTGTTCAAAAAGGGCTGAAATATTCAACTGACCTGATGGTTGTCTCAAAGTGAGTGTCCAAAAAGCAAAGAGTGAGGTGGCCTCATTGTGATGGAATCTCCAATTTAGACATTGTCATGTGCATTGAATATGTAGCTAGGGTGGCAAAAAGAATAACGGAAAATTAGTAATTTCCAGTTGAGATTTAGCAAATTCTAATATATATAACAATTTGTGGAGCACTGATTACTCAAGGAATATTGTTGTGGATGTATTAGAAGAAGTTGCACTTAAAGTCAATGCCAACCATAATGTAGGGTACAGTTTTTCTGATTAGATAAATAGTGGAATAAACTTTCCAGGTCTACGATTGTGAGCAAAGGGGTTCCTATTGATCCATGAAATGAGAGCTTCAAGGGACCATGTGAATACTATAATTGTGGACCAACTTTAACATTTTGGTAAAATTCTACTATATTCACCGTTGTACAATTTCAAAATCCAATAGCTTCCGGGTACGAAAAAAAGTAAGAAACTAAAGTATCAAGTACCCACATGTTGAAAAAAGAATTTCCTCCCAGCCGAACGCTGCATTCCAGAGGAACACACACATCAAGATGGTCGGCACGGTATGCTTTAGAGTTACTGGTGGAGCACAGTCTGGCGAAGTTAAGTGTTTCGATCCATTTCAAAAGTCATTCTTAATCATCCATCAATATCCTACTCGTGTTTGTCTGCGATTCTGATTGCTTTTTCCGGACCCAGCTCCTCCACAATACTCACCCTTCTCCGAAATTGGAAAAGCTACCTCCTATTTCTTTGGAAACTGGATCTGAACACCAACTTCTTGGGCTCTCACTAGGCTTAGGCTCTTGAGAGACAGTTTGATCGCGTAGGAGTTGCATAATATCAGAAGCTAACTTTGCAGCAGTTGAAGAAGAAGTTTAGAAGAGTAAGGCTTACAGGCTGAACTATTCAACCAAGGTGACGGTTGTCTTGAAGTGCGTGTTCAAAAAGCAAATACTTGCGGTGGCGTGAATGTGATGGACTCTCCAATTTAGTCATTCCAGGTATACGCTTGTGAGCAAAGTGTTCTCTATTGATTCGCGGAATGAGAGTTTCAAAGGACTATGTGAATACTATAATTATAATTTTTGATGAACTGCAACACTTTGGTAAAGTTTTCCTATATATAAGAGTGGTGAACACTTTCAAAATCCAAAAGCTTCCGGGTACCATAAAAAGTAAGAAAATACCATGTCAAATAATTCCCAACAAAAGTTGCTTGTAATCTTTCCAGATAACATAACTCTTTTTAATATTTGGCTGCATTCCCACACGAATGAATGATTAATAGTGAGTAAGTCAATATTACAAGTTATCAAGTTACTTTTTTATATAACATGTGTGTTAGTTTAACTTGAATGAAAAATGCATGGATGTGTAGATGTGTTATATGGATTAGTACGTGTAGATATGTTGAATTTCACCTTAAAAATCTTCTAATGACGCCCTAATCACCTTCTTTTTCCAACTTTAGTAGAGTTGTATTATTAAAGTATAATTTAGTTGCATTAATAAGGTATATTGTAGTTGCATTAATCTTGATGATGCATCTATAGAAAACAGATCAAGAATCCAAGTGCCAAAGATAAAAAAACAACTCGGAAATTCGTTGGAATCGGCCTGTCTGGAAAGGTGTTGCAGATTTGGAGAAACAGCAGCAGATTTTGTTTCTGGTTGCAAGATTGATGATGTGGTGAGGTTTGAACTGGTGAATAGACTGTAATGTAAGCCCCACGAACTCAACATGCTTTTTCTGTATTCAGGTTCATTCATTTTGGCTTTGCGATAAAAACAAAATCATGCGCTCCCCCATGGACTCCCAGGAAGTCGAAACACGAAAATGTGATGAAAATTCTAGAAAGGTTTGTAGTTTCCACTATACTGTAGTATAGAGCTCCGATCGGGTTCGGGTAAACCCCGAAAACCCGAGTTCGAGTTCGGGTAGAGGGCTGTACCCGACCCGAAAACCCGAAAATCAATAAAGGATCAATTCAGATCCGCATCACAGTGCTGGCTGAGCCGACTGATATTCTTGGGAGCATTCGGATCACGCCTGCACTAATCACTTTACTTCCTTTTCTAGGCTGGATCGATCGGGAACCTGAAAGCCCAGTAGTGCCTCGTCTTCGCACGTCAAAGGGAGAGTAGTGCTAAAAGGTGAAAGAGACTCTGGTGAATACCCTCGCCTTTTCTTGGTAAGGCCGGGTTCCAACACAAGATGTTCAAAATCCTTTTGTCCGTGGTGAGAAGAATCTTGTAATCGTTCACATAGTTTACGTTTGTTGGTTACATCTACATGTGGATGTTGCGTAGCTCTTGTGCATGAGCTATTGCCGGTAAGCTTCTAACCCGTTAACTCTGCAGCGTGTGTTCTGCAATATGAACGACCAGACACTCTCTTTTGAATGATGGAAAAGACTTAAAGCAGAAGAGTTTAAGTTCGACACTTACCTCAACCAAACGATATCCGCAATGGTTGGCAACTACGTCTGGTATCACTCCCCGAATCGACCCGAACTCGACCCGGGTTGAAGGTCAAACCCGACCCGATCGGAGCACTACTATAGTACTTCGAGGAAATCTCTTCTGCGGGACTGCCCACTTCAATAAATTGCATGAAGTCACCCATCACCACTCACTGCAGCAGTTCAGCGATACTAATTTGATTGTAGACAAGGGCACGGAGCAGGAAGTGGATAATGGAAAATATACACGTCTTATGAAAGGCTCGGGACTATTGTGCTTTCGCGAATACCTTCCCGGTAGAGAATCCTGAAAACCATGCAGGTAAAAGATGGTATTGTTCAAGGGAAGCATATGTCGTGAATTTTGAGCTGGCAATTGCACTGCAGCCCAACTGGACCAGGGAAGTAATGTGCAACAGAGTATCTGACTCCCAATTGTCTTTGAAAAATGTAGCTTATTTGTCATAGTCGATGGCGTCCGCCAGTAAAATAGGGTCAAGGGTGAATCTAAATTACCCAAATCAGACAAAAACATCGGATTTGATTAAGACAAGGAGGACCAAATCCATTGTTTCAGTGACTGGGACTTATGGACTATTTGGCCACAACAGGGGATTGTCCAGGGAAGTAACTAACACCGGACATGGTCAGCAACCGTCTAGATAATATGCTTCATGGACAAATCGTAACAGTGGCGATCATTCCACAAGGTTTAGGAAGTTCCGAATTGAAAATGCCGAGTTCCTCCAACTTGTGCAGGTGGCGCACGGTCAACTCGAGCTGCATATGAGTCAGCACAACTTTGAATTCTACTGCTGCATGAAGTGATATCGACTGCTGGACTGTGACTCGTTCCTCGAGTTCTTTCCCTCGGAGATCATCCCGGAGTCCCATGAGACTCAAGGTGCTAGAGTTATTTCTGCAGGGATTACACAGTCACTGGAATCTCGAGGGTGCTGTAAGGAAAACTATATTCTTCATGACTCAAGGACACATGCTTGGAGATTAAAATCTATCGAACTCAGCAGCGTAATAGCGCTGTCATCATACTCATTTCTTGTGCAGAGTACCGCTACACTCTGTATTGGGTTATTACCGCAATTGAGTTTCAATTGTTCAATTCGAGACAAAACACAGAAATTGCGTATTGAGATTGGAAAACAGTATCGGTGTTCCAGATGACAATGGTAGACATGCCATACATTGACCGCTGTCAAGAGGAGAGGCTCCCGTGAGACTTGTAACATGATTTTCACTTTCATTTTTCAGACCTCGAGTGGTCTCATCAGAGTGGAAAAGGAGCCGAATCCCTCATCCCATTTTGGATCAGGCCTGATCGGTACATAAGTTTGACTATACTCCTCTTCTTGAAACCCAGTAAACGACTTCTTACTTCAACCGTATGATGTCGACTATCTTCCATGCTACCACGCTGGCTCGTTGTTGAAGTGCAAGGTTCTGATGATGCTGGTTTATGCGGGGATTTGCTGGAAAATTCGCTTCAACCCACATGCTTAGAGATAATGCTAATCAACGGTAATCGATCTAAGTGGAATCTACGGGATTTGACTTGGGCAGCTGAAAATCGTCTCTGTCCTTGCATCATCATATACAGCAGTGAGCGCGACTCGAATGTCATCTTACAGTAAGCGAGTCAGCTGTTGTGGTTTGTGAAAGGATTCATGCTGGTCGAGGTCCTCTGGAGAATGTGCGACTCTTGACAGCAGTCACGCTACTCCATAAATCGCAGATCCACCGCTTTTTCCATACAGAATGATCCTTGCTTTTCCCTTCACGCTCGGAGTGCCTCTGACTCGTTTCTGAAACGTACTAGAGCCCTCAATTCATATTCATTCTTCGAAGGCCCTACGGGAGACCTTTTTCCTCCAGCGGTAAGCCTGCAGCAGGCACAAGGATCACCATTCAGAAACATGAAGTTCCACCAGATACGAAGGCATTTGTTATTCGGTGAAAGTCAACCACATCTGTCGTTTACGCTCTCCTCTCTTGGTCAGACAATTCGGAAAAACAGTCACCACAAACTTATAAAATAGGAGGGAAACTCAAAGCGCAGTACGCTCCTGATGGCTTTAAGATAAGAAGACATCAAAAGGTACAAAGGCAGAGCTCGGGGCGATACGTATCAAAGGAAATTTGCATGCGTGCCTACGTTGGCTAAAATGCATCTCCTACAAGAAACAGAAGGGGATACTCACGTTCGCAAAAACTTGACCGGAAAATTCCCATCAAGCACAAAGCCAGAAAAAAAACGCTCCACATCTTCAGTCACAAGAGCCCCGGGAATCTTCTGCATCAGCAACTGTCCAGCAAGAGGCAAACGTCAAGTTCCAGAAAGAGAATTTCCTTACGTCGATCGCAGCAGGCCACCTAACTTTGATGCTGCATCAGGCGATATGATCTCATGTCTGATCTGCAGTCTGGATTTTCTTCTACTTCTACCAAATATTTTAATGTTTGCACAATCTCCCGTTGCGTTCGTGGTGAGTGCTCATGATCCGCGTATCGGAAGATATCGGAGTAATTTTTGTGTCGCTACTTGTCCAAAGTGCAAGAAGTATCAGTACGCACATGCACACGTTGTGACACCAATACGCGAGTAAAAGACTTGCAAGGAGAATCACATTTCCCATAATGTTCAGCATACGAGGATGTGTATACTTTGAAAATGTATGCTCCATGTTGTTAAGATTCTCTGTAACTGAAAGTCCACACGCAGTCCAGATGCAAAAGCATTCGTGATACGAAACTACCACATTTAAACACGTGACGCTTCTCAGCGTGCTGGCGAATTTAAAATGTCTGGTCTGGAGTTTCTTCTACTTCTACCAATAGACTCTTGTTATGATAACAGAGACACTAGACACAGCAACGGCAGGTGTGAGGCTCAACTTCGAGACACATTGTAGACCAAAGTGGACACTTTCCTTGGGACTGTACCTAGCATCTGCAACCCCGAAATTAGAGTGATTTTCAAAGAACTTGAGTTCACTTTGTGAGATCGCTTATGAACTCAATTTTGATAATTGAAATGGTTGATATGAACTGGAATATACTTTCAAGATTCACTCTACTTCTATAACTAAAATCTTAGTGGGAGACAGTACAACGGGATAGAAACACCAAACAACCGACGTAGACAAAGCCCATGAGAATGCTAATTGTCTTGGCAGTTCTGTATCGTGCAGATAGAAAAAGTTTTTTTAGTTATACTTATACCCACATGGTGAATAAACAAATTTCCTGCCAGCCGTGCGCTGCATTCCAGAGGAACACACACATCAAGATGGTCGTCACGGTATGCTTTAGAGTTACTGGTGGAGCACAGTTTGGCGAAGTTACTTGTTTCGATCCATTTCAAAAGTCAATCTTAATCATTCATCGATATCCTACTCGTGTTTGTCTGCGATTCCGATTGCTTTTTCCGGACCCAGCACCTCCACAACACTCACCCTTATCCGAAATTGGAAAAGCTACCTCCTATTCATTTGGAGACTGTAACTGAACACCAACCTCTTGGGCGCTCACTGAGCGCCCAAGAGAGCTCTAATCAACTTTTTTTTCCAACTTTATAGAGTTGTTTTATTAAAGTATAATGTAATTGCATTAATAAGGTATAATTTTGCATTAGTCGTTGCATTGTGTCGTTACTCATGCCCAGTGCAAGAAGTCTCAAGTCCAGCAAGCAGACACTACGACGGGAAGTTCAGTTCTCTCTAGGAGAATAGAGCTTGCGGATCGAGGAGAGTGCCTTGTGTAGTCCCGGTTACATTTTGCTTGCGCATGCCAAGCAGCAAATGTTTCTTGACAAGGGAAATGGACCCCGCAGACCATGAACCGGAGCTTCCCTCCGCCATCCATGACCTTATACGGCGTCTCAAAGGAAAAGGACAGCGTATAATGTCGCTTCCCTTCTAGACGGGCCAGAATTTCAGGATTTCTTTCCGGAGCGAGCATCGCTCTCGACGATCACAGGGTGGCGAAGCAAAGTGCGCCTACGAGTGCTGGAGGCAATCGGCAACTGCAACACCCTTGAGGTTATGAAGGTGTACAATATTTGTGGCGGGTATATATCGAGGTTGATGACTAGCGAGTGGGAACTGGTTTTGAGAAAATTCAGGTCTAGCACTGTTCTATGGGAGATAATTCTTGAGGATTTGGAATGGAGTTCAGATGAGGATGTGGAGAGCTTGTGTTTACAGGTGGGGAGAATTCTGAAAACCTCCAGCGTAGAAAGATTCCGTGTGAAAAATTGTAGATTGAGTGCCAGATGTTTCTTGAATCTTGCATCAGGACTGCGAGGAAATCTTGAATCTAACCTCAAGTGGTTAACTCTACGTAACGCGTGGGAGGGGTCGAGTGCGGCGAAGCATGTGGCTGACATGATCAACAGTGCTCCTCTATTAGAAAGATTGCATTTAAGTGTAGGGTCGGAGGAAGACATGGATGAAGAGACCGTTGGAATCCTGTCCCAGTCTTTGATCCACAGCTCGTCCTTGAACTGGTTGATTTGTGATGGTCCGGGGATGTGGGGAGCGGCCTTGTTGATGAAAGCCTTGGCCGGAGATGATGGCAACCGATCCATTGAGTGTCTTCACCTGGAGCATATGGATGGACTCGTAGACTGTTTAAGGGAAATTTTTACTTCCAACCCATCGTTGAGGATTGTGAATTTGTCCTACTTGCGGATGCGTCCTGAGGAATGGCACCGGCTCGGCGAACTAATACGTGACAATGCTAGAGCAACAAGAGTAAGACTAGATTTTGACTTCGACCACGATGATGACTGGAATTCAATAGAAGCTCTTGAGTGTCTTCACCTGGAGCATATGGATGGACTCGTAGACTGTTTAAGGGAAATTTTTACTTCCAACCCATCGTTGAGGATTGTGAATTTGTCCTACTTGCGGATGCGTCCTGAGGAATGGCACCGGCTCGGCGAACTAATACGTGACAATGCTAGAGCAACAAGAGTAAGACTAGATTTTGACTTCGACCACGATGATGACTGGAATTCAATAGAAGCTCTTGAGTGTGCTGCTAGGTCCGATGTCGAGGACCCCACTTTGGAGCTTGCACTCGAACCTCCGAATGAGCATGAATTGATGTTATCATTCAACCTATTAGGCAGGGTACTGCGCGGGGAAGTCAAATCTATAAACTTTTTGGATATAGCAGCGGATGTTGTTCGCATTTCAGGTAGCAACCAAGTTAGAATGGAAGGTATCCTCTCCATGAATGGAAAAACTGGGGAAACTTCAGTCCTGAAGAGTCTACTAATAAGATATTTGGACGGAGTACAAGTCTCACTATTATGGAAGCAACTATTTTGGTGCCTGCGCGGGAATACAAGTCTCACTCTCTTGGATTTGTATTACTCCGAACTCTACGATGAGGATTTCAGGGACCTGATGGATCTACTGCAAGTTAACTTGACTCTCCAGGAAATAGATGTCTCAAAAACCTCATGGGAAAGGGACGGGAAGTCAGCGATGATTCAAGAGGCCCTCAAGCAGAACAAGAAGCGGGCCGTCTACTTGTCCGTGTTTAGGGAAGCCAAGTTAACATTTGAACATGCAAAAGCTAGTGGACTCTTCATATGCGGCTCACCTAGAGCCGGTAAGATGCTCTGTAAATTCTCACGACGATACTAGCAATATATGATTCTGCTTTTCTGAAACTAAGATTGACACAACAAATGCTTTTTTTCATCTAGATATATTGATCAGTGTATTTAAATACTGACGGAAAAAATCTAGTTATAAATCAATTTTTTTGTGATTTCTACATTTTTAAATCAAACTCATCTTCACATATCAAATATCTAACTTGTCAAATTTTATCTAAAGAATATCATATCCAAGCTTCTGTGAATGTATCGTTAATAACAAGTTGTATACTGTGAATGTATTGTTCATAACAAGTTGTATATTTTTTGATGCTTTCTTCCAACTTGTAGGCAAGACTCAACTGCGGCAAACCATGATGAGGATAATTCAAGGCAAAAGTTGGCTTGGAGAGAAATGGGAGTCATTGTGGAGAACCAAAGGAATAGAAGTGGAGTTTGTGCAAAACAATGATGATATGCAAATCTCAATTTGGGATCTTGCAGGACAATCAATTTTTCGCACCCTCCAAAATGTGCTCTTTCCGCAAACCAACAGTTTCTGTGTTTTTCTTTTTGTGTATAGTCCCTTCTGCAAACCAGACACTTGTTTCAGAACTGAGTTGGAGGATTGGTTGAGTTTCATCACATCCAGCACTAGTGTCAGGGGACATAATCTTCCCCAAGTTCTTGTTGTGATTTCACACAAGGATAAAGCCATATATAGATCTCTGACTTGGGCTGAGTCCATAGTGAATGAACTCATGAAAAAATTTGAAAAGTTTGTGGATCTCCACCCTATTCAAGAGTGTTTTCATGTTGATGCTAGGAAGAAAAAACAAGTGATTCCTCTCAAAAATCACATTTTTGAGATCTTTGAGAAATTGTTCAGAGAAAAATCTCCAAGGGTTCCTCAATTGTGTTCTCAACTTTCCTCCCTCTTAGTTACAGAAACCAAGAAGATTAGAAATAGCCCTCTTTGGTCATTCAAAAAGTTTCATGATTTCTGTGCTCTCAGTTTGAATCATTTCATTCCGTCATCTTCTGCTCACTCTGTTGATCATTCAAAGATGATTGATTCAATCGTATCCTATTTGAATGATATTGGATCCATCATTCATATCTCGAACCTTGAGTATATCATTGTAGATCCAAATTGGCTCACGAATAAATTCTTGGGTGAGTTGATAGCTCTTGGTCAAGACTTTCAAGATGAAGAGTCCAAGTCTTGGAATAAAACAGTTTCAAGTGTCTCATACACAAGCAGGGATGGATTTGTGAGTGAGAGGGTATTTGCTGGATTGATGGAAGAGTTTCTGGAAAAGCAACCACATTTGCAGAAAGATGTGGACAGACAAGTGCTTGAAAACATCCTTATCAGTTTAGATTTGTGTATCAAGCTCGAGGATACTTCTCAATATTTCATTCCTTCCTTCATCTGTGAGCATGCAAGAATGGAAGAGGAGAAGCATCAAGAAAGTTTGCCCGTGGAGTTGATATATCGGGAAAATAGGTTTGAGACTTCACAGTTTGTCGGCATTCGGATTCAATGCCAAGATGGAATAACAATGTCACTGACTGCTGCGTTTTTTCCACGGTTCCAGGTGAGATTGAATCATGATTTCAAACACACAGTGAAAACATTGTATGCGTCAAGTTTTGATTGTAATTTGGGTATGATGAAAAGAATGTTTACTTTTCATTTATTGTAACAAATTATTTGAATTCCCCGCTAAATATTTACCAAATTTTTTATCATTGTAGATGTTCATAAGATGCAAGTTGATATCTGAGATGCATGTTTCCAAGGAGAATGTTACCTGCTCTCGACATTATCTGCGACTTTTTCTTGACGGGCACGAAATATATGTGGAGCACGTTCAAAGTTACCCCAAATACGTAGATGTTCTGATGATGTGCTCGAGACTTAAGACAAGGGAGATGGCTATCAATTATGTGATGAAGCATATCGTCCAGGAGTTGATATCATTTTGCGCATCACCCAAAGGCTGTCCCGAGGTGGCGTTAGTGCTTGGTGTGATCCAAACTTTTTGCGTGGAGATGCTGATTCCGAGTCATCTTAGGGGAGTCATTCTGATCGAGGACCTTAAATCGGACTTCGTTCGCAGCATCGAGGACAAGCTTGAGGAAATTTCATTGGAAAGGTCGTACTTGGTGGAGAAGGAAGAGTTGTTCCACTATGAGCACTGTTGGCCCCGCATTGAAATGCACACAGGCGGAATAGCCAAACAAGCTAGGGATTTGTTGTGGGATAGCGATGTGGAAGCAGTTGTGAGTGAGATTCGACATAAACGAATTCAACAATTGAAGTCATTGCAGGAAGGTCTACTTAGCGTGGACAATGATTTGGCTCAGTGTTATCCTGAAGCTGAAAATATGGTTAGCGACTCGAGTTTCCCTCAAATGAAAGACAACAAACCACCTACATCCAGGTGGTTAACCCGTGCCATCACAAGTGTGGAAAATTCTTCAACCCGACTTATTTTGTTCAAGATTGATCAGCTTGTACAAAAGGTTGATGGTTTGGATGAGAGGCTGAGATCAGTGCAGAGCATTCTGCAGAGAGTGGAGATGAAGATGGGACAGATACTCGCTCTACAGCAAGAACTGCAGACAACGCTGAGTGACTTCATGTTTAAAGTGGACAGGATAATTGAGTATTCTCAAGCGTTTCAGCAGTCCAAAACGCCCAAGCGACCTTACTTTACGAATCATGTTGGATTTTTCTTTAGGATGAGTGCACTTCTACATGTCGGAAAAACCGTTCGCTTACACTTGATGTGTGAGTCTGTGAGTGGTTTTCACGTTGTCAAAGATCAAGAAGGTTTGACGATAAGGTTGGATCGGGAGAATTGTGATTGGATTCGAAAAACTATTGAAATTTCATACAAAGTTTTGTATTATGCTGCAAAGGCTGGACTGGATGCGACACTGGGTTTAGGCCAAGCTATTCCAGATTGGGTAGATTTAAAATCGGATATTGTTAAACTAGTTGGTATTAGCGATGAAGATCGCAAGGCAGTTCTAAAAGGTGGGGAAAGCAAGGAGCTGCAAGAAGCATGGTTGAGGATTCAGCAAACTCTTGCGTCTCAGCTTCAAAATCGCTATTCCTTACTCTTCAAGTTGTATCAGGTGAAATACTCGAGTTTAGGAAAAGGTGGGCATGCATGGGTGTGCGAGAAGTGCATGAAGAAGGGCCTTAGTTCTGGAGTTTTGACATGTTAGGATTTCGAAGAGGTTAAAATGCCATTATGCAATTGACAAGCATATGTTTAGAAGCTCATGGAATATACAACTCTTCAAATTCTTCCTTACAGTTTTCTACTTGTGAAAACTGTAAGTCTGAAGTCTTTTATAATCTTTGCCATCATGTCAATCGCACAGTTATGTTTCTGAAGAAGATTAGTGTTCTGCTAAGCTATCAAGATGACTTTTTGGGGGTAGAGTCTTCACACTGTCTTGTTGCAAGATGAGATCCCTTAACTTGACACGGGGGTGGTCACCTTGAAATTCCATACAACAATCATAAAACCATCAGGGATACATATCCCTGATTGATTCTTCTGGTGTTGCACGATGAAGGTCCAACAACTGTGTGATGGACCGGAATTCAAACTAAGATGTGTTGTCATTTTCAGGTACTATCCGTGTTTAAACAAGAAAGCAATTTAAACTTGAGACAATATTTTTCCTAAATTTCATGCACAATGTCCGATCTGTGAGCTTCACAGATAAGAGATTCATGTGAATCTGCTTCTGGCGCTTCTTTGTATGACGAGAAGATTTCACAAGATTCCTTAGGTGGCCTAAGTCCAGTTCGAAAGCATCTTACCTGTAAATCAAAATTTGTGCACAATTCTCTCTCCTATGATGTTGAAGCTTGCTTCTGCTAATCAGATTGCACACGCCATTTGTAAAGTTGTGGATGTGTTTTGAGAGTTTTTCGCTCCGTATTCTTCACGCTACAACCTGATAACATGCTTGTGCTGGCCGTGATCTCAGCACATTTTAAATCGATGGCACGCTCAGAACTGTCACTCGTAAAAAAATGGTAGTTTCGTAGCACGAATGCTTTTGCCATTGGAATGCGTCTGGACGTTCAGTTAACAGAGACTCCTTACGTCGAGCAGAAATATCCATAAGGCAATTCTAACTGGTCTTCCGATATCAGCAATTGAAAACAGTGTTCCGATCAGAGTTCACTAACGATCATGCGATGAAGGAGAAGGATATTACTAATCGATTCGATACCATCACACCACAGATAATTATACATCTATGCACATAATCCAGAAAGCTGCATTCTTATTCCTCCAAATAAACCTTAATTAAGTTGAGCGAGACCCACAGTTTCACTACGGTTTCCAACCAATTTGTCAAACCAGAACTGGACTGTACGTAATGCAGTGTTCAAGATGCGCAGCCCTGGACTTTCCTCAGCTGTCCTTAGATACACGCGCCTCGGGAGAGTAAGTTTGTTAGAAAGAAGGTAAAAAAATAAGATACTGAATGATTACAAGTCATATGATATTTAATGAAACATTGAGTTATATATGTAACACGTGTATTAGTAGCTCCAAATTCGATAATATGTAATATCTTCTATTCTAAATTGATCAAATATATAGAAAAAACAATTGCGCGTATTTTTACGCATATTTTGTCACGTGCGTGGAATGGAGCCCTGGATCTAATACTTCTTTGGGGTTCAATGTGACTGGATTCCTGGAATCATTTCGAACCAAACCGTTTAACTTTCAGTGGTATCATTTATTTGTCTTCGACTTGATTGTTGGCACCTAGTCAACCTTTAAGAGTTTTGTCCGTGACTTGCATAATGTGATGGCCGCTAAGCCATCAAATTATTCAAGTGGGTCGTAGGTGAAGGAAAGTGTAGACACTTCTTGTGCACTCGACCGCATACGTTGGGAATGAGGACGAGAAGCTACTAGCCTTGATTTCAGCTTGATCGGCTGCCTCTCTGACATTATTCTCATGCGGAAGAAACGCTTGATAGTCCTCCAGCCGAGGTTCGGATCCTGACGGAGCTTTGACACCGTCCTCGCTGTCGAGCGTGGTCTGGAGAAGGAACGGGCCGTGTTCACCGCTCACACTGGGCACACTCAAAGGAAGCCTTGATTCAGAGCACGTACTTTGATTGCAGTCGATTACTCCAGTTGCAGCAGAGTACCAATGTCTTCCTTCAGATCAGCCAGTCGCATGCGTATGCTTTGCCACTGATGAGAACCAGAGCCCTTGGCTGCCAACCAGCTGGGCAGTATATCCTTCAGCACTGCCGTCCCTCTACATATCATGTCCAAAGTTAAGTTCACTTCAGCCGAATCTTTGATTACGCTGTCGATCTCCATCTCGTCCAGATCCACATTCTCAATTCTTCTGCTGACCCCATTATCCGTGAACTTGTGAAGCAAAGCTCCTTCGCTTCTCAAAAGCTGTACCTCTTCATCAGAGGGAGCTAAGGAATTCTCGGCACCCTCCTTCTCTATAAAGGATTTCAGGGCACTCATGAAGACGTCTCCCGTTACATCATCCCCGCGTGCCTTCCGAGCCAATGCTGCATCGTGAGGAACAAAACGCCACAGCTCTTGGCAAGATGTGTTCGCTGCGTAATGACTGAACGATGCGAGCCCCATGTGCACCAACGCCCAGTGAGTTTCCTTCAGTACCAGATGGAAGAGTCCCCACAGTGCCCTCATTGCGGGATTCTCCTCTTCCTCTGTCATGACGATATCGCTAAGATTTGCCAGAAATTCAGGTAAGGCCTGTTTGAGCTCCTTGCTCGTTGTGCCCCGTGACGGTACAACACAGCAGTCATATAGTTTTGGAAGAAGAGTTTGCAGGTATAAGGGGTCGAGCAGGTGCTGCACGTGGGGAATCAGCTGCAGGGCGTGGCTCACAATTTCAGCATTTCGACAAATTGCTAACCTTGCAGCTTCTTGGACAGTCTTCGACAGCAGGTCTTGGGCAATGAGTGCGATCTCCTGCAAGTATTGGACTTCAATCTCCTCCCCGCGAAACGCACTGATGGTAGCAATGAAATATTTGAGCAAAAATCAGGATTCAGACCCGATCAAATCGAGAAAAAGACCCAGTACACCAAAGAAGGTAGGCCCGCACTGTATGTGAAGAAACCTTGTTTACTAAAAAAAATGAATTACCAGAAGAGAATGCCGATGTAATGAGTAGGACAGGGACTCGATACCTTTCGCAAAGGAGCAGCTGTAAACTGGTGAGAGCATGCTTTTGGGCAGAAAACTTGGAGAAATTAATTTCTTCCTGTTTCAGAGAGTCGACGAGTCCCTTTCCACCGGCAATGCAACAGGACAACAATCGGTTGAAGCTTGCTTTCCTGCTTCCATAGTTGAGGAGAGTTACAGAGTAGCCCTCCTCGAGAAGTAGGGTCGCAAGAGTGGCGGTAATCTCGCTGGAAAATGGATCTCGCCTGAAGATATCGGCATCTACACGAGGAGCCAGTATCTCTGGGATCTCTTCCACAAGTGCGCACAAAACTCTGGCTAGTCTCCGCAGCATGGGTCTATCCACCCTCGCGGCGACCAAGTCTTGAAGAAGAGAGAGCAGCACTTCAATGTGCCTTTGCGCAGAGATCGCGTCACAGTGACGAATCACGAAGCACCACACGTCCAAAATCAGTTCTCTGCAAACAGCGCAGGGATGCAAGACATTCTCAAGGAGGAAATGCTGAAACTCGGACCAGACATGATCATCACGAGCACCAACTCCCGCGAAGCATTGAAGGGAATGGGACAACCACGTGAAAATCAGTTGACTATTCCAAGTTATTTTATCATCTGCAGTCCAAATAGGCAGTAGTCTCACTTGCGTCAAAACAACGTAAACTCCTTGGTCCGGAGCAGCATCAAGAAGCCAATGCAGTTTCAGAGTGAGCTCCCGTAGTAAAATGATATCGTAGTGGCTCGAAAGCTGCAAAAGCGAGACAAAGATCGCAAGACGACCGGTTTTGAGAAGTCCCAGGCCGCTAGTTTTGCCATTAAAAAGCTCATCAAGCACTTCATTTTCTTCTTGTCCTCCGTCCAGTTCCGCGATGGAATGGAAACTCTCCAGATCATCTGTGTCGGAGGTCGTCATGTGCAAGAGCTTAACCTTTAACTCCTTATCCACACTTTGTGCTTTCAGGAGATTATGCAGAACATCGATTGCGGTCGGAATTACCAATTCGGCTAAAACCTGCATTGCTGTTTTCTGGATGACTACGTCTTTGTACCGAAGAAGCAGAGAGGCATATACTTTTGACAAAATTGATATTATAGATGCACTGGCAATGACAGCCTTCTGCGGGTAGAAAGATGAAATTTTTTCAGCCATCTGTAGAAAGAACTTCACCGGTATGCAAAGCCTTCGTGCATCTCTTTCTCCCGAGTTAGAGGACACGAGCCAGCTCTTCACAGCTGCTTTCAGCGCCTGGACGGAATGGTGCAACAACGAAGAAAATATGTTCGTTATGTCGACAGCAGATGCCACAGAATCTCGTCCTTCCTCCAATTGAAGCAATGCCACGACGCTCTTCCAGGAAACGTTTAGCAGGCCAAGAGAGATCGCTCCACCTCTTGTAGATAAGTCTCCCAGTTCAGAAAGGGACCTTATAGACGACGCGACAATGCGAAGGGAGGTGGCCTGCAGCTGCCACCTCTCTGGCGATTGACAACCTTCCTGATTATCGAATGCAGACGAACCAGCAGTAGCTGACGTACTACCCCCAACGTGTCGACGGAAAGTATATACTAGACGAAAGGTCAAGCTCAGAAGTTCGTGGCAGCGTTTCCTCATGCCCTCGTTATCACTCGATTGCAGAGAAGGATGTTTCTGCATATTGCACCAGGAGTTATCCAAAGCCAGTATTAGACAGTGAAACGAATCAATGGGACAAGCTTAAAGTTCGAAAAAGTAGCTATTACTGAGGTCTTAGGTCCTGGTATTGAACAGAGGAGAAATAACAATCTGGGTTAGAAGAAGCATTGCCTTGGCAAGGAGTGGGAAAACTCACCATGGAAGAAAGGTATACAATCTTCACCATCGCAAACGAACTGCTTATCAACCTCTCAACATCAGAAGCAAGAGACTCCTCAAAAAGTAGCGGTTCTAGCGGCGAGTACTTTTCCACCAATCCTTCAAAAATTCCAGTTACTAATTTGAGCACTGCAGTTTGAATCTGCGAATACAAAGTCGACTCCATGTGTAAAGCGCAATCACAACAAGGTCTGATGTAGCTCAAGGTGGTTCAAAATTACCGACCTGGACTTTCTTCATAACCTAACTTGGCAGTAAATCTGGGAAAACTGCCACGCAATGATGGTGGGAGGAGAAGTACTGAAAATACTCGACTTACCTTCGATAGATAGCCGACAGAGAGGTCCCGATCAGACTTACGACCTTGCAAATCAGCAGAAACAATTTCTGTACACCAAGTACTGGCCTTGACACATAACAAAACGAAGCTTTCAGCCGATTCCTTGATTGGCCCTGTGGCGTTCCCAGCCGCTTGGAGGATGCATGTCCTCCACTCTACTGCTTCCACGCCTATATAACGTGGCTCATCCCAGCATATCCATCTAGCTGTCAAGGATAGCCACGTGAGGAAATCGATCACAGAAGATGAAAGAATGAGAAATTTCCCAACGAGTAGGAATCCCACATCCCAATGTATCAATGGACATAAATAAGGATACTGTCAGTGTCTGTGCGAAGTTGCGCAAATTGGATGCGCTACATCCACGATTGGAGCCCAAGTCGATCAAAAGCTTAATTCCAGAACACGGAACCTGAGCAAACAGAGGAATCATGGCCACATGTCAGCTCATTCGATATCGTTGGACATCAACAGCCGGGCGAGGCCCACTGACAATGAAGATAGCCTTCTCTTGAAAAATTGCTATTTGATTCTTTCTTTGGACCTCTTGAACATTAAAATTGTAGAGCCAGTGCTGAGAATCCCTATATTAAAATTCATACGAATGTTATATAATTCTCCATATCTAAATTCGAGTCAGCTGTCACGATATACTTGAATCTTGAAATTCGCAGGAAAAACGAGAGTTAGTTCCGAAAGCTGGGTCCAAGAAATGCACACGATTGTTTTTCAGAGCTAAAGCTATGAAATACTGCCCCAAAAGCATAGACATCGAGTACTGTGGCAGGCAAGAGGGCGAAAAGCATCCGAATTGCAAAATCCACCTGCAACAGGCGGGTGATGACGGCTTCAGTTGCGCCAGTTATACTCATCAAGGTATCCAGCGCCACATTGTCGACGGACCCCATTTCCCCGTCCTTCGGTTCCACTCGCCAGCAGCTAAAGCGTCTGGCGGCGATTGAAAATCCGACAATTCTCAGGTGTGGGCAAATCTTACAACTATCTGACTTCCTAGACGCGGAAACCGGTCCAGAACTGCGCCAAGGATCCAAACTCACAACACCACCAGCGTGTGCCCTCTCTCCTGTCCTTTTTCCTCGCAAGAGTAACTCTTGAGCTCTCCGGGTTCGCAAGGAGCAGCATTACTTTCTCAGTGAACGAACTTTCTTTTTGCTGGTAAGCTCGCCTACTTTCCTCCATGTTTCTCTCTAACATTGCCTCTCTGCAAACCAAAATCTCATCCCTCCTCCTCGAACTGAAATTGTCAGCAAGATGGTGACAACTACCCGATGACGGTACACAACAGAGTGAAGCTCCAAAACGGGTGAGGCATACGGATATCCATTTCTCACTGCACGATGTCACAATCGGCAGAATCTGCCAAAGTTTTAATGAAGGTCCGAAAGGAACTCGAAGAGTGCCAGAAAATCACCAAGCCTCCACAACTAGAGACTCGGAATCTGAGAAACGAAGCTCCTTAAAAGTTCCTCGAGAGAAATATGGCTTCTCCGTCCGAGAGACTTCTTGGAGCATTCGAGCTCCACGACACAGGCGCGGCTCCGGACACGCAGAAAAATAATTAGATAGCAATCCAAAATCATCGTGCGCCGGAACTCGGTGGCCGCTTGTGATGTCGCTTGTGATGTCGAGGAGGCTGATCGACATATAATCGAGAAATCGACAATGTCCGATGCATCAAAGAATCTGAAACATGGCGGGAAGAGTTGCAGAATATTCACGGAGTGCGCGGCATTTGCCATTTGTCGTCCTAGACACGGAGGAGCTGTGTGGGCTATGAGCGGGCTGGGTTACGAGGTCCGCCACTCTTCGTACTCCAACCAACGGGGTTTCGGCGGTATACCGTCCAGCTAGACATTGGACAACCGAGTTTCAAAAGTGAAAGCGGCATGTGGGGTTTAGCGGTGATCACTTGAAGCCATACAGAATTTAAATACAAAATTTCAAACGAAGATAAGCATATTTCATATTTCTCTAGCATTTTATCGAAACCATTATTTTGTTGTGTTGGAGTCACCAAAAAAAAGTCATTCATGAGTCATTCATGTCTTGCTTTCAAGATAAGAAAGCATGCCCCCCATATAAACACAACACAAGTCATCTACACTCCTATCTTCTATTTCCGATTGGGTCTCCATTGCAACCAGGATGATATTTGGAGATTATTCTAGTTTGCATCTATTATCAATTATTATAAATACACATAATAATTATATGAAATATTATCAATAAATACTTAACCACATATATCATTCTTTTATAAAATATTTTTGCAACAAGCTATTTCTATTTTTTACTTTATCTTATATATAAAACCACAACTGATTAATATTATTGAATAATTTTTGTATATCAATTATTATATAAGATTGTAATTTTTATGCGATGATTATAACTAATCGCCTAACATTTCCAAAGTAAAAAATGCTAGGGATAATTCATGGATAGTTTTAGATTCATGTTATATTTTCAATTATGAAAATTTATTTAAAGTATACATTTTACATTAGTTATATGTTTTGATTTCCAAGAGAGAAAGTTTGAAACGCGATATATTTTTTTTTAAATAAATTAACATTCATATGAGATAATCAAAAACACTTTTTTGAATCTTTACACATTTAATTTCAGTTTAAAATTAAATGTGTATCAAATGAAAAATATTGACAAATATTGTTTTCCTATGGGAGTATGATGCAAGGTTGAAACTGTAAAATCAAAACATGAAACCTCAATATTTAGATTTATAGTAATGATTCTCAGGAAATTTACTAAAATTTTCAAATTATATGCACGTTCTTTACGCTATCATTGAAAAAAATAATATAGGAAAACACGCAGCTCAATTTTTTTCTTTTAAAAAAATCAAATTCATAGTGATAGGTTATTTTATTAATGATATAGTTTTTATTAATTGAAATGTTATCACATAATGGCTAATTATTCTTATCAATTTTTATTAATTTTAAAAAAAGTTTTGTTTTTATAAAAAAACTAATTTGTTATATGTGATGCGAAAAAAATCATTTCATAAATAAATTATTGATATAATGAGAGTTTAAAACTTCATTGCATATTTTGATGAAATTATTGAATATTACATTCAATTTTTTCATAGGAAAATTCCATAAATATAATATAATATATTTTTCCAACGAATCAGATATCCCTTCAGTGGTATCAAACGACTTTAAGTTTTAGAAAATATTAACTTGCTCGGGAAAAAAAAAAAATGTTCGATTCCTGCGAAGAATAATACACGTACTTAGCATTATCATGTCTTCCAATCAACTAACATCGGACAAATTTATACTTGATTCAACATGACTAGTTTATTGCTGCAATATAAAACCTTGGAATGACGGCTCATGAATGTAAGAAGAGTGAAGTTGTAATAGAAGGTAAACAAATAGAGGCATTTGAAAAGTGGTTACATATTTGTTAGTCTAGCACGGAGTCGGATGAAAATAGGATGCTGCTTTGAAAAAGATTTTCCATATTATGCTATAAATATCAACACTTTTATCATGTTTTCTAACGAATGTGGTGATTAAGGCAATGTGTGCACATTCCTCTATTGGGAACAAGATTCACTTCCACTCTTTTGGATAGGAAACTACCTTTCATCCCTACAAATGATGGGATCTTCCCATCTTTTTGCTTCATTTTTCTGTCACTACTCAGGGATGATTACGCGCTGTAGCACGTGATTCCCAATGTGATGTTATGTAATTAGATTTCTTATTATCAATTTGAAGCTTGCACTTCCCATACGATGCGCCTTCCAGCTTCCTCTGCAGCATGCCTTGATTTTACACATTTCATCGGCTTTAGATTTTGGGTTTGTGCGGACCCGAGGCTCTGATCTTGAGTTATGTACATGTCAGAGCAGACAGCCTTGTCTTGTAACACAGCACAAAAATATCACACCATTCATATGGTGCACGAGCGCGAAAAGGAGGGCCAGGATTGACACAGAAATTTCGTGTTCTGATAGCTCGCTCGCGCTTCGGACATACGTTCTCATCACTAGAGACTCTTCGACCGAATGTTCTTTGAATCATATGGTGGCAGAATGATGTCGCTCTTCAGCGCGCACGGGGCGGGGCCAAGTGGCACGGCGAAAAGATGGGGAGCTCAATCGTGACGCCACAAGCTAGGCGCCAATTTCTTTCTGACAAATAGAATAGAGCCGTTCTAAGACGTAGTCATGCCATTCAGCTGTAGCAGACTCTGTCCTTGAGTAGCCTTCAATGATTCGTCTATCTGTGCATAGACCAGGAAGGAATCCTCAACGAGACATGCAGATTACTTACAGAAAGATGAGCAATGCTAACTCCGCAACAGCTCTATCAGAAACTACAGAAGCAGTTCTCCGGTCCACCGCATATGTGTGAGGTGCGCACTGGACTGTGAATCACTGAACCTGCCGCCAGGTTGTACAATAACTTTCTTGTGCAGAGTACCGTTACACTCTGGATTGGATTATTACCGCAATTGAGTTTCAATCGCTCATTTCGAGACAAAACACAGAAACTGCATATCGAGATTGGAAAACAGTATCGGTGTTTCAAATGAAATTGATAGACATGCCATGCATTGACCGCTGTCAAGAGGAGATGCTCCCGTAAGACTTGTAACATGATTTTCACCTTCATTATTCAGACTTCGACTGGACTTCGACTTCATCAGAGTGGAAAAGAAGCCGACCCCCTCGTCCCATTTTGGATTAGGCCTGATCGGTACATAAGTTTGACTATGCTCCTCTTCTTGAAAGCCAGTAAACGACTTCTTAAACCGTATGATGTCGACTATCTTCCATGCTACCACGCTGGCCCGTTGTTGAAGTGCAAGGTTCTGATGATGCTGGTTTATGCGGGGATTTGCTGGAAAATTCGCTTCAACCCACATGCTGAGAGATAATGCTAATCAACGGTAATCGATCCAAGTGGAATCTACGGGATTTGACTTGGGCAGCTGAAATTCGTCTCTGTCCTTCCATCATCATATACAGCAGTGAGCGCGACTCCAATGTCATCTTAAAGTAAGCGAGTCAGCTGTTCTGGTTTGTGAAAGGATTCATGCTGGTCGAGGTCCTCTGGAGAATGTACGACTCTTGACAGCAGTCACGCTACTCCATAAATCGCAGATCCACCGCTTTTTCCATACAGAATGATCCTTGCTTTTCCCTTAACGCTCGGAGTGCCTCTGACTCGTTTCTAAAACGTACTAGAGCCCTCAATTCATATTCATTCTTCGAAGGCCCTACGGGAGACCTTTTTCCTCCAGCAGTAAGCCTGCAGCAGGCACAAGGATCACCATTCAGAAATATGAAGTCCCACCAAATACGAAGGCATTTGTTATTCGGTGACAGTCATCCACATCTGTCCTTTCCGCTTTCCTCTTTTGGTCAGACAATTCGGAAAAACAGTCACCAAAAAACCTATAAAATAGGAGGGAAACTCAAAGCGCAGTACGCTCCTGATGGCTTTAAGATAAGAATGACATCAAAAGGGACAAGGCAAAGCTCGGCGATACGTATCACAGGGAATTTGCATACCTGCCTACGTTGGGTAATATGCATCTCCAACAAAAAACAGAAGGGGATACTTACGTTCGCAAAAACTTGACCGGAAAATTCCCATCAAGCACAAAGCCAGAAAAAAAACGCTCCACATCTTCAGTCACAAGAGCCCCGGGAATCTTCTGCATCAGCAACTGTCCAGCAAGAGGAAAACGTCAAGTTCCAGTAAGAAAATTTCTTTACGTCGATCGCAGCAGGCCACCTAATTTTTAAAACCACTGAATCTTATAGGGCAAACGGCTATCTCTGATGTCATGGTCGGGTCATTTCTCAGTACCTACATTGCATAGCATATAGTTTTGTGACACTTACTGATCGACCGCGAAATTGCTTCAGACCAAGGTTTATGTCGTCCATCATAGGATCCTCCTGCATGAGACCGCTTACAATATGCATTTAGCCACAGAAAGCTTGCTTCGCAAAAGAGAAATGTCCGACTTCGCATGTCCGACTTTCTTCTTAAAAAAAAGAGGAGACTTGCAAGCAATACAAATGAACAGTTCCGGCTTCAACGTTACCCGAGTCAACTTCAAGTAGCGACCTCCCAAGCGGCCCTTCATTGCCAGGGTTCTTTGAGCAAGCCGGAAGCTTTCTACTGAAGTGAAGTCGACCTGACTGCAGACACGTAACGATCAACAAAGAGTCAAAGCAAGCCAACATGACGTACCAAACGGGCAAATGGCAAAGATCACAGTTCAGTTCGAATACGATTTCCTTGCCAAAAGTTCAGAAGTATAGGGGACTCATATCTTGAGATAGAGGAGAGGAAACAGAAAACCCAGAACACCTTCAAACTTTCTTATGAGATGTGGTCGAAATTTCAAGACATGGCTCTATTGAAGAGAAGGCTTCCATTCTAGTTTGCACTCTTGAACACTACTTTCAGTTGATGCTTCATCGCCCTTCTGAGGTGAGCACGTACTTTTTTACATTACTACGATCGTGCAAAAACCCTTATCCTATCTTCAGCACAAGCTTAATCGCAGTTCTGTGGTAAGCATGTATCTCTAGCATCGGTTCTAAAAGTGCAGAGAAAACTCAATACTTACACATATTTTGGCCGGTATCTCAAGTCGTACATGATGGTCATGTCCTCAGGTCTCAAATTACATCCCTTCAGAAACCAAAGCAGGTCACTCTTGAACATGAACTTCGGTGCATTCGCAACTCGGGCGGATATCTTTTCTGCAAATCACAGATTTGGGCAAACCAAATTTCTCTGTCAACTGGAGGTAAGGCCTATGAAAAAAATAAAATTGAGAAAATTGTCATACAAGGAGTGTAGAATGCCATGTAATTAAATAAAGGCACTTCGAACGGTAACAATTGACGCGATAAGGTTGAAACCTCGTAAGATCAAAGCAGTAGCTTTTACAAATTCCAACAGATAAATCTGAGCAGTTAAAAAATACTTCTACTTAAGAGACGTAGCCTCGACTACATCTGCCAAATTTCTCATCGATAACAGGAAATTCTAAGACATTCAGCTAGAGCTGCTCGCGCAGAAATACCCGTGTACTTAGACTAGACAAACTTCGAAATATTATCAGAAGAGACAGAAAATATGAATACTTTCTTGATCTGATAGCAAAGCCTAAACATTCTGAACATATCATCAAAAACTTTTTTATGTCATGGATGAAGATATCACAATTGCTGCAAATAAAATAATCCAGGAAGGGCAGGGATTTGAAAGCTCACGAGATCCATTCGCAGAAGAATAAGAAGCAGCTGACGCATCGGGCCCGATATCAATGGGATCACCGCTTCTTCGAAGAATTAACCTGGCAGCAGGATTCGGAGGCGAAAAAGGGGTCGGCTGAGGAGGGCCTTGATCGGCTGAAGGCTATCTGACATAGGACGATTGCAATGAAATAAGGACGAAGCAGTTTTGGCAAATCGACTCTGTCCTCCGGGTCGGCGCAGGCACACTCAAAGGATCTCTAAAGGCCTTCCTTAGGTTTGTGCTCCGCGAGATAATCTCCGCACCTCTTTAATAGACTATTTTCACACGCTCAGAATTCGACGTCGATAAAAGTACCAGAAGACAAGATTGGAAGCGATTGATCAATAGATTTTTTCAAAACCATTCAGCAAGTTCGATCACCTAGCCCGCTCGAGCGGGGAAGAGGAATCGCAACAACCTGACTAGAAGGAGCAACAGAAGGAAAACCACCACCAGCGACATCAGCAAAACGCAACAGGAAAGTCACTCCGACCTCAGGATGGGATAAAATGCCACTGTCTGAGTCCGCAGAGAACATGCGCGGAAGGAAGCATTGCGTCGCCTTGAGATCGAGAGCAGCAGCATCAACTGCAAATTTTCTGCCGCACGGAGCAGCCCCTCCGAGATACCGCACGGCGCAGCTTCTCAGCGGAGCCGCAGCTCTTCGTAGACTTTGCACTACAGACATAGTCCCAATGGATTCACAGCTCCCTGCTCTCTGGTCGCACAATCGAATGCCGATGCTGCGCTTCCAAGATCGTCTCTCTCGATGCGCAGCTCTGGAACGATCTCTAGCTCGCTGATCGGAGGCTCGGAGGCCTGGAGGCTCACAAATGTGAAGACGGCCGCGTGCTCTTCGTTGAGGGTTTCGGCCTCATTCCTTGTCAATTTCCCATGACCCTCCAACTGACTCTAAACCTCAGCATATACTCGGAGGCTTGTCTTCTCCTCTTTCCTTAATGCCTTCCCACATGTTATCAACGCCAATGTTGTATGTGTTCATGTGAACCTTCGCATTTTGGGGACGAGATATGCATACCCGTGACGAAATCAGAGGTTTTATGGTTGTAGAGGACTTTGATTTCTTCTAGGATTAATGCAGGTTCCACATTGACTTTTCTTGTTGATGTTATAGTCGGGTTATTTCATAATTGATGTTTATTGATGTTTATTTAGTGAAAGTCATGACCGATTCTCCATGTGCATGAATATACACCTTTACTTCGTCAAATTTATAAAAACTTCACATTGAGTTGTCTTCCAAACTTTTATATAAACCCGAAGCACACTATCCTTATGTCAAGCAATAAGCAGGTTATAAGACGACAACGAGATAAATCTACAAGAGAAAGACAATCGTCTAAGAACACACCCAAAATCTCATAAACGAATTTTAGTTTACCAAATACAAACGAAAAATAGTTGACGAAATAAGTATTTGCTACGATTGAATAAAAAAGTAGGTAAAAAGTTTGTCAATGATATATCTCAAAGATAATGATAATTTGTTGACAGTCAGAATACTTGACATCATAATATTCTAAATCGACTTTCTTGAGGCCATATCTATTATTAACTCAGCATTATTTGACCTTCTTTTCTTCATTGAAAACATCAAGATCATAATTATTTATTTAGGTGAAATAATGAGTGCTGAATATTTGAAAATGTTTAAAGTAAAAGGATTAGAAGTTTCCAAAATTTCGGCCTTCTATTCAGCCAATACATCATGTCGTGCAGCAAAATGACTGTATATAACCATAGATGTAGAAATTATTTCCAACATTGACTTGACATGCATTGTTAGCAGGCAATTCATTTAAAAAATGTAATCATGATTTTCAACACATTTTGAAGATTGATTATTAATACGAATTTTGAAGTACAATGATACTACAACTACACAACTTTAGTTATTACAATTGTAAATAAATTGTTCGGTAACAATTGTATCAACCAATAAGTAGGTATTATTTTTTCATACAGTTAAATTCATTTACAAATGTAATGTGCTTTACATACCAATCATATTCTCTGGTGTTCAAGATTTCATTCAAACACGTGTCAACTATCAATTAAAAAACAATATTGAATTTAAAAAAATAAATCATATCATCCTTCTAAATAGAAGTCTAAAACATTAAATACATTTTAACAATTTGAGACCTAGTATATTGATTACTGTAGAATTCTATATATTGTATTTTAAATTCAATAAATAAATGTAATTAACTGGTGTTCAATATCTATGTAACGTAAGATGATTAATAATTAATTTATCTATACATATAACACACACTTATCCTGCAATTTTGAAAAACTATACAAAAATTTAAATCTATTTTATTAAGTAACCATGCATATACAACGATATTCAAAAATTTGTTATAAGTTCCAAAATTGATCAGTATGTTAAATATTTTTCATAAAATGTTAAAATCTAACAATTTCATTGTCTTTATGTTTATAAAATATAGATTTGTGTTGAAAACACACAATAATATTCTGAAAGATTGAGTTATCATATTGATTTTTTATAAAGAAAAACTGTTCATAAAAAAATACAAAAATATGTACAGAACAATTTCAAAATATTATCATTATAAAATCCATATATTTTCTTCGATAAAGTACCTTTTTTTTCAAAATAATAAGAAATTACAAAAAAATCTCAATTTGGCATGAATTTTTGTAATAAAAATATATGTAAATTTCCATTTTTTTTCTAAATCTTTCTTTTCTGTCATATTGTGAAATTTTGAAGTATACTTAATAAAACAAATATATTTATACTTAGAATAACATGCATTATTTGTATATTTGTACAGCATCTTAAAAATGCTAAACAACAGAATTTTAATGTTGAGAAATAATACTTTAAGTCTAAATTTTTTTTTCATTCATATTTTGATCCATGTGTTGAAATATATACATATCTACATAATCAAAAGTTATTTTTATGCAACATAAGAAGCTATATGTAGTATCCAACTGCTTCAATTAATGTATATATATATATACACACACACACACTTAAATGTATTTAAGAACAAAACAATGATAATTTAATTTTTGAAATGAGATTTTGATTAATTCATAGGGGTCAGTTAATTTTTTTCAATTATTTGAAGTATATATAAAAAATTTAAATAGTTTTTACAATGACAAATAAAAAAAAATATATGAAAAATAAGACATATAAAATTAATATACGATTCAATACAAATATTTTAATATATATGATTTTGAATGAATATTCTTTTAGAAATAAAGTAAAATAAAATAAAAAAATTATGTTTGCAAATTAAGAGCATAATCTAATTTTATTACAATCATCACAAAAACATTTAAAATAAAAAATTTCTTTTTTTGAAAATTAAAAAATAAAATATCTTATATTTAAAATCATTTGCAGTCACAAAAATATAACATGGAATTATTTTAAAAAAAATTGAAATTTAATCTAAAAAAGCAATATTTTCTAAGCCAAGGAAAACAAATACGTAAACTTTCTCCAGCTTACACTTGCACAATCTTACTACTTTCGAGGTTATTCCTCTTGATTGGATTATATGCAGAGCTTGAAGAGGGTTATGACATCAGTATAAATCTATCATAAATAAATAAAAATATTTTTCAAATAAATAATTAAAAAAAATAAAAAATAAAACTATTTTTTTATTTTTTATCCACAACTTAAATTAGAGAAAAAAATGAAAAAAATTTTAATTTTGAATCATTAAAAATTTTATAATCTTTGAATTTATTTTAAATTCAAATTAAAGGATACATGAAAAATAATTTTTTTTAAGATGTTTCAATCCAAGTGTAAAAAAATTTGGTTAAAAAAAAGACGATATAAAAGTATTTTATTTCATAGAATATGTTATAAAATTTAAATTAATTAGCAACTTCTAATTATTTTATACTAACTTTCTTTGAAATTAAAATACATCAATTTTTTTTCTTTTTCTTGAATTATAATGAGAAAATTATTTGATTAGAAGAATCTTAATTTCGCAATATTTTTTTTCAGAGAATGAAAAAAAAAATCAAAAAAAAAATTTAAACTTTTTTCTTTCAATATCATGCACAAATACACATAATAATTACATGTATTTAATTAAATATAATGTTAAATTATAAATATCGTTATTATTTAGCATTATATTTATTTTTAACTTTCGTTTGTAAACTTATGGAAAATAAGAACAAATTTTACTATTTCTTTTGATTTAAAAATAGATTTCTTGAAATAAAAACTTACTTAATCAGAGATGAGTAACTCGGAAAAAAACTTTCAAATTACTGAATTAATTCTAATAATGAATATTTAAAAATAATCAGAAAGTAAGAAAAAAAATTTCTCATGTAACAGTAATTAGAACATGTTTGAATTTAAAATTTTCAAAACAAAAATATTTTAAATATTATTCATAAATTCATTAAACTTTTCAAAAATTCCTTCATTTTTTGGATACATGAATTTTTCTTTATGTTTATTTCATATATATAGAAAATAGTTTTTTCTTATGATTTCATATTTATTATTGAAAGATATATTTTTACTTCAATTGATAAATATATGAAAATGAGAGTATTAACTTTCAAAAGCTCAAGTGATAAAGTGATTTTGAAAAATACACATCTTATGGAGATAAAATGAATAAAAGACAAATTAATTGGGAAAAAAATTAAAAAAATGTATTACTTGTTTTAATTTATGAATTTAAATATATATTTTCTTATTACTTTATGAAAGAATTTTAATAAAAAGTTCATTTGAATATCTGTTAGAGATTTAGCTAAATTTTCAAAAACCCTTTAAAAACACTTGGATCTTTCTGTTCTATATAAAAATATTTCTTTCTTTCTTATTTTATATTTATTCTCAATCGATTGTAACCTTTTTATTTGGTATCTATATTTTAATTTGAGTAATTTATTTATAGAAAATAAAAAAATTTAAGATTTCAGTTAAAACAGCTTTTTGTTAAAAATAATATTTTAAAAATAGTAATTCTTTAATTAGTTTTAACGTGAAAAAAATTTCAAATTAAATGTTTGTTTTGATAATAATATAAGTTAAAAAAATTGGAATTTTTTTTCTTTCTGCGGATAACAATAAAAGATTATTTGGAACATTTTCTTTAATAAGAAATAATCTTACTTAATTTTTTCACCTTTTTTTTCATATATCAAATAGAAAGTCTTTTTATTTTAATAAAAGGAATGTAGTTTTGCAATATGAAATATTTGTTATAGCATTTCCTTAACTTCTTTTTGCTTTTTGAGTTTTGATTAGTTATTCTCAACATATTTTTATGATTACTTTACTATTTATTTCTCTCTATATGTTTTAATTTGATTCATAGATTTCAGGAAAAGCATGTATAGAATAAAAAGTTTAACAATGTATCCAAATCGTAAAAGTGATATTTCATCATTCTCAGATATAAAAATTTTTTAAAATTTAACTTTGATATTTAGTTTAGATTTTTAATCTTAAAAATATATTTTTATGCTAATATCAAGCATTGAAGAATCTTAATCTAGTTATAACATTCCAATGACAGTGTGTAAAAGATGGCAAGGCCTTTTTGTAAATAAAATGGGGGCTTAAAATTTTTTCATCTTCAATTCAATGCCGACTTTGTTACTTTAGAAAGTACTAGTAGTATAAATAGAGAGCCTAGAGATATTGTTACTCGCTCCAGACAAAACCTGTTGTAATTTTTTGACTAATATCAATCCTATTTTCCATTTTTTTGCTTAGAGTGTTACTACTATCTGATTTCTTGCTTGGAGTATTAACACTTTTAGTGATGAAGGTTCTATAGCTATTGAGAATTGCCGTCCACAACACACTTAAGTTGAAGAAATAAAATTGTGTGTAATGGAAGGTTCTCGGTAAGGGCTTTTCATGACATCATCAAATAATTCAAA